TGCTACAGTATGATTCTGCGAGGGGAATTGATTGGAATGTTGAAACATATCTGGGTTTACAGGTACAGAAGGTTGAATGGGGAATGATTGGGAATAATGATTATACTGCGAAGGTAACGGTACTGAGGCAAACGATCGTGACGAATCGGAACGAGAATGAGGGTCATTTTGCAAGTGAGAAATTGGTGCTGTACGAGCTCTATGCGTAACGTAAGAACGTGAAGGATCAGGAGTTAAAAAGGGTTAAAAGCCATTCCGGCGGGTAACGGTACAGTATGAAGTGGAACAGAAGTAAAAGTTGAAGACGTAGCGGAAGAACTTCTCGTTTGGCCGCCCGCTGGGTCGGTCATCAAGTTTCCGTTGGCGCGAGTTGTTTATTTAGGCGTGAAGTCCAATAAGCATTAACAGCAAAGTGAAGATTTAGCGCGTTCGGACTGCACGCGGCCCATAACCTGTTGAAAACAGCTCACGCAGTGACAGCAGAAAGGCAAGAGACAATTTATTCCCCTTTTGGGAGGTCGGAGTATGTACATCGTTTGTCCTCGATCTCGGTACATCTAATCTAATCTACCTCGATCCAGTGTCCTGGACTGCACTCGACGCACAACGTCCAACAGCACCTGCCGGTCGTGAATCTTGATTCCTGACCTAGTGAAGGAATCAAGCGATCAAAAGCATGAGAAATATTTCACTCGTGAAACAGGGTGAAAAAGACTCTTCACTCGCCTCTTACCTCTACCTACGCCGATCCTAAATCGGAAATCTGTCTCTGTCTCGGGATCACAGATGTCGATGCAGATGTCAAAGCGCATCCATCCGAGTCCCCATGCAATCGCAGAACGCCCGACAACAAACGACCTCATTGGCTACTGCTGCCCATAGGATACGTCCATTGGGGCACAGTTTACGCCTTGGACCTGAATGGAATCCAACTAGTAGTGCGCAAGATCTGGATCAATTTCGAGGGTGTTTCCGACTCGCAAATCGGCCGGCGAGTTTGTGAGTACTCTACGCGTGAGAGGCGCCGGTCATGCTGCGAGGGACCTCGAAGTGTTGTCCCGGGTTCTGAATTCCATACTGATGTGACAAGCGTGGGTCCTGAACGATAGAGAGGTTATTAGTGGGTATACTTTATATTTATGTTTACCGTGCTGTGAGAAGGAGACCCAAATGCGACCATGCGCAATACGGGCGCGACTTTGATGATACCGTGACCTTTCTTCCTCCTCTGAGTCCCAGAATAAATCACGCATACGCGGACCCAGCCGACTCGGAGACTCATCTTGTTGCGCGAAAGGTACGGACGGCGCACAGGTCCATATCTGACGTAGATGTGGATGTGGATGTGGAGTGCATAGCGTTTCGTCGTCGTCGCTGGGTACCTTACGATCCCGGCGGCGAAAGTAGATCATCCAGGCATTATTGGCATTTTGCACCGCCAATGCCCGATGGTCGATGGTCGGCGGACGCACGGCGAATATTAATCGTGATGGCAGTGATGGTGATTCAGATGATGAGACTTCGTGGGCGATCATGCTCGAGATTCGAGAGAGCGTGTACAGCCTGTCGATATCGATGCGATTTCGAGTGACCTTGGACCGTGTGCGGGGCGAGGTGCCAAGGCTACGAGGGGCGTGGAGTGGACTACGCCTGCAACGTGATCGCAGCTCACGGGGGACTACAGTCTACGAGTAAGCACGCATATTATAGTCCAGAGGGGATATACCTCACCTTACCTGTATAAGCACATGTGATAAATCAGCTCAGTCACGGTATACCAGATACTGCAATAAAGAGGGGATGTCTTGCAAGCCACGCGTGAAATAAGTTATTAATATTCGTAATTCTTGCTACCTGCCCCCAGAGCCTGCGTACGTGCGAGTCCGACTGAATTCGGTGGTGTCCGATATCGATAGTAAAATCCAGTGGCGTCCGATGGCGAAATTCACGCAGACAGGCAGGTAGCTGAATTCCGGAGCATATGCATATGCATATGCACCTTGCAGTAACACTGTCCAGTATCGCAGTACTGATATCCCGTTTCTGTGATTTGTTACCCGAGCTGACCGCAGGCCTACACGCATGCTCTTTCCTCTACGGTGTGAGCAAAACATGGAGTGGGTATACCTGATAAGTCGTGATATTCGGGTGGACTGAACAAGAGAGGATCAAGAACGAGGATGACGAGTGCTCGTGTTGGAGATTGGAAGAAGCGTACACACAGAGATTGGAAGAAGCGTACACAGACATCAGAAGAAGCATACACATACACAACACACTGAACACTCAAACACTTGCTGAATACTGTATGCTCTGAATCCACCAGCGATGGATAGAGATAATCCATCGCTCACGGCATAACATGCCATGCAAATACCGCATTGTACGAGTACTGCAGTCTGCAGCTTATGATCCGAGTGAGAACTGAGCATTGAGCGCTGGGATATCGATGTCTACCAATGGGCTGACGGAGCGGACGTGGCGAGACGGCGAGCAATTCAGACTTCGGGCGATTCAGGAGACCCAGGTATGTACATACGTCGGGTATCGTAGCGCACGGGGAGCCTTGAATGGCACATTCATTCCGGCGTCCTAGGGAGCCAGTCGCCTGTGGTCCGTATGTACTGTATGTAGGCGTACGTCCGGCCTACACGAGGCTATCATACGGCCGAGGAGATTCTACGTTCGATAATCTATAATCTTAATTGTAATCGTAATCACTGACAGACGGAAAGGTAGATTCGTCGCAGTTCGTGACGATCTGGACGGCACAGCACAGGAATAACAGGGATCATTTTTTTGTCCACATACACATACACACACACATACACACAGGGATCCTAGTCATGGTGAGCCCATGAAGCGCGAATGAAGCCTCGCGGCGATGTAAGTGCTCTACACGTTCCACGTACATAGACAGCAAGGCCAAGGTCCGAAATAGATAATCAAGAACATGCCACTGGTCCCAAGAGCGTGATTATGCCTGAGTCCAAAGATGCATTTTTGGGTACGAACGGTGACTCTGCCAGGAACCTAGGACGCGCGAGTCATTTCTGCGAGCTCGTGACGGGAAGCGGTGTCCTCGTCTCAGTTAGCCTATTTTCAGAAGTCGCAAGCAGGAAATGGAAGGAGGACTCGGCCTACCGGATGTTGGAATTGCAAGAGGGGCTGTGATGCGATGATATGATATGTATTTCCCTGGTTCCCAGTGACCCCAGCTTGGACTCGGAAGCGCTCGACATACGTATGGCCTGACTCGCCGGCCGAGATTTGGCGCTCGGGTGGCAGTGGGATAATGGAGCGCAGGGGGACGAGCAAAGCAAGGATATTCTGCGGTGGCATGATCGTGTGGCATACTAGTAGTCAAGGTGAGGACAAGAGCAAGAGAGAGAAATAAAGGAGGGTAATGAAATTGGATCGCTGCCTGAAAGGCATCGATGGACGGTTGGTAGCATCGCGGAAGACGCATGTCAGATCTGAAGCTATCTCGAGTTCGCGGTATCGACTACGATTTACGGTCACGGGTCGCCTCGAATTGCCTAGAGAGGAGAAAAAGCAGCCGCAAGGCGGGCGGTGCGCTTGCGATGCCTTTGACGTTCTGGAGGCGACACGATGCACAGGAAGCGAGTGAAATGCGAATATGATCTGAGTCAGTTATGCTTCCCTTCTCCCGCACCTGTGTCCTCAGCCTGAGCCGCCTTGGTCCTTGGCCCGTAGCAGGCAGGACTGCCTCTTATTCCACGAGAGATATCCCGATGCGTTCATACGGGAGAGCTATGGCTCGGGTCCGGCCCTGGAGTACATAGAAAGGGACGCGCCGAGCCCGTGGGTTGCTATCGACATGTTTGTGGCCAGCCAGCGACGCGCTTTGAGCCAACTTTTTCTGGGCCTGTTGCTGTACCTCCCTCATCCACCTATTTAAACCCCAACACCTCCCGCCTTTTCCTTCCTCACCACCCGCCCCGCTGCTCCCCCTCATCGCAACCAACGACGAGCACATACTCATCCCAGTAGACGCCAGCGAGCAGAACACCGAACTTCGAGTCATCTAACAACCCATAGCTTTCCAATGGATCACCGTCGTGTCCGCTTCAATAGTGATCCAGTGGATAGCTACAGGCCTATCTCGCCGTCGTCCTCAGAGACAGACAGTATCGAGTCTGACCCGGGTCCATCTACACCACCCTCACCCACGTATACCAACCTGTACAACCTCGCCACACCGCCCACTCCCACACTCGGTCTCAACACCCCCACTCAATCCTCCCAACGCACGCCACGCGCGAGCTACCAGCCCCAAGTCTACACCCCGTCACCCGTCTCGACCAACCTCTCTCCGTCCGAACTATTCTCGAATCTCCCACCCTCCCGACCCGGTCACGCACGCGGTGACTCGTACTCGTCCGGAGGGTATCTCCACCCGCAACCTCCTCCCGTGCCTGTCACCATCAATCCCGCCCTCGCATCCCCTCATCTCGTCTTTGACCTTTCCGCACCCCCGAACCGTCAGAGTCTTCACCTGCCCGCCTCCGCACTCGCCGCACCCGCCACATTCCCACCGGTACCCTCCATCGTGCTCCAGTGCCCGTCCTTGCCCTGGAATATCACCGTCGAGCCTTCGCCCACTGCCTCACCCAACAGCGCAAAGTTCATCTCGGTACAGGACGTGCTCGACGCCCTGTACAGCAATATGAGGACGCCGGTGAAGGAGGCGGAGTTTAAGGCTCTGGCTCCGGCCATGGGCAAGGCCGTGAGCGATGCGTTCGAAAAGAGGTGGAGGGCGTTCGTGAACGGGATGGAGAGGGAGAAGGAGAGGGGAAAGGGCGTGAAGAGGGTCGATTTCTTGGTCGGCAAGACGAGGGTGGACGGTTTGAATAAGACCTCGGGGACGAAAGACGATTCTTGGGTGTTCAATGTGCGGTGATGAACGGTCCTGGTGACGACCGCGTTTTGCTATTTGTGAGCATCATTTCCCTCCGTTTTTTTTTCTTTTTTCTCTGGTTTGAGATGGTCGTGTGCTCATGGATGTTGGTCACGCAGATTGGTTCCCACGCATGCAGTATAATCAACGACGATGAAGAAGAAAACGAAGAAGAATTCCCTAAATCAATCCAAAAGCATCTGTACTCTCCACACGTCCCGCTAGGCAGTGCGCCTCCGGTTCATTAGTTGTCTGTTGTCTATTATATGTAACATACCCCGTCTCCATCTCGTTCCCCATTCCGAACCGTCTCCATCATCGACATCGACATCATCATTGCCCCTTTGCCTCCCATCCCGTCCCGTCCCTCCCATCACACGCCACGCACTCCTCATCAGTCATCACCGTCCTCCTCCCACCTATCCCCATCCGTTTCAATTTCACTTCCGACTGGCTCGACGCCACTTGATTTTCTATTCTACAGTATACGTACCTTATTCCCTTCCTTTTATTCTTCCCTCTTCCGCCACACCGCCGCCCACACCGCCGCTCATCACCGGTCACCAACGGACGGTCTACATATCACTATTCCCTCACCTTATTCGCTTTCGCTCTCGTTGTCAAGCTGCCGCTTAACATTATCCTTTATCCTTTATCCCTTATCCTTTATCCTTTATCTTCTGACTTCTGGTTTTTTGATTCTGCACCGTTACCGTTACCGTTACTGTTACCGTTACTGCTCTCCGCCCGTCATCCGTCCGTCGCAAACCATCGTACGCTCTCCGCTCTAGCTATCTCGCCCCTTAATTCGATTCCTCCTTCCCCATTCCTGGCTTTTCTCCTCCTTCCTCCTTATGCCGCTTTTTCTTTGGGTTGTTACGTACATTTATGTCCATTCTTCCCTCCATTCATTCCTGGTTTCTTTTTGTGTTTGTGTATGTCTTATGAACGAGACGAACGAAACGAACTCGATAGATTCTTTACTTAAAGCTTGAACGTTGATCATCCATGCACTGTCTTTTTTCGGTCTCTGAATCCCCTTGAATATCTTTGGACTCCTTTCTCCCGCTTCCATCCCCGCCTTCCCACCTTCGCAACCCAACCCAACCCAACCCAATCCTCACATTCGTCGCTTTCGCATGCACACATACATATGTCTTGTCTTGCCGAAATCGTCGACGGTGGGTTACTAGATAGTAGATACTTTACGACACGATCCTTGGCATAGCTACATATATGAAGACGAGGCAGGGGACGAAGACGGAGAATAAATGAAGAATTGTTGTTGTATGTATAAGTGTTTTTTTGTGTGATTCCTTGCGTGCGTTCATACACTGGCACCAGAAAGTAAGCAGCGCCCGTCAGCCATTCCGGCTCCCCTGGGCCCTCTCGACCGTCTGCACACCGCAACTTCAACTTCGCGTACAGTAAGCCTTCGAACTCATCCGTCCCGCCCACTCTGAGTCTCCAAACTCGAAGATAAAGTACTTACCTCCGCCGAGACCAACAACTCCACTCCAGTCTCCTGATATCAATCCGCTCGAAACGCCCGATCGGGAAGACGTATGTCCCGAAATGGAAGGCGGACGTACATACAAAAAAAAAACGAAACGCGTCTGGACGCGTCGCGCTGATACACGTGTTTGTTCGCGAGATCGCGTTTGGGTTGGATACAGGTCTGCGACTGGCACGTGGCCGGGAGAGGTCGTGTTCTCCTCGACGCGACGCCAAACGCAACAATAAGCCTGTATGGGGCCGCAATTTTTTTTTCTCTGCATGCATCGATAACGCACGCCCGCCCGCCTGCTAATGAAGCAGACAAATTTCCATGAAGTCAGAAGCATGCGGCGCTGCGGCTGCTTTTGATTCATGAACCGACACAACACCAATCACTTCATCTCTCGAGACATCTTGTGCGTATACGCTGGGCGGCCGGGGGGGCTTACAAGGGCGCACGGATTAGAGTTTGTTGTGGACCTTCCCTTTCCATGTTCCGTCTCCGTCTCTTGTCTTTCCTTTCGCGGTCTGTCTATCATCCAAGTGACCCGCCTCCGATCCCGTCGTCTTCGATCCGTCTTTTGCGGCCTCAGTGCTCATCCTCGTTTACTCCTTTCAGATATCTGTGGTTATTTTTTGCTGCTCTGCTTCAGGGACCGTCGGTGCGTCATCCTCGCGCCGTGGCAAGTATGTACTTCATGAGAACGAAACACCCTCCCGATGTGTACCCCCCTGCAAGATTAAGCTCGGGAACGGCATCGACGGTACTGCCAGTGTTACTGTCGATGCAGTGCGTACTGCCCACGATTACGAGGACTACGAGTATGTACATGGGATCACATATCCTTGCATATACCCTGGCTACATAAATAGGTCCTAGGATGCAGTTCGGATCTGTCCAGTGCCCATCCGGAATGATCTCGGTATGTGGCTTCCCCTTCTTACCATAATATTTCTCTAAATTTGAGGAAAATGACCATCGATGTCGTGCGATTGACCTATGGGTTTACGGTCCACACCATCGCATGCATGGTTATGTTAGGGATGGGGGGGCATGCATGCAGGAACCCTGGACCCTAGTATCCCACTCCACCACCTTCCTCCCGCACACATCCGTGCCCAAGGCTGGAAATACGTCCAAACCGTGTCCCTCGGTCGTTGCGCATATGATCGTGGGTTGTCGGGACGCGTGTACGTATCGTCTGGGCATCATATAGCGAGAGGAGACGCTGTTATAGAAATAGAAACAGACAGGGAAACGGGCGGGGGAGGAGCGAGTCCCGATGGATGGACGGCCCAATGCGGAGGGCGGGATCAACAACGATACCGTGAGTCCGTGATACGGGTGATTTGGTGAGATGTGAAGGTAGGGAAGGGGAGAGGTGCAGAAGGACGGATTCAGACAGCCCTTCGACGTGGAGCTGTTCCAGGCTGTTGCCCGTTTGGAGCCCTTTCTTCCTGTCACCCATCAGTCTTCTTCTTCTTCCCTTCCCTCTTCTCTTCTCTGTTCTTTTTTTTCCTTTGCCTTCGCGTCTACTTCGCAGGCCAAGATTCTGCGGTCTTCTTGTGGGACAGGAGGCCCCACGAACGTGGAATGGGAAAATCCTATTCTCACGTACAGATGGCGCTCGAGTAGCCAAGTTCATTTTCGGGCTGCATATTATATCCTGACTTTGGCTCGGACGAGGAGACGGATGTGGACGTCTTCGTGGAGCTGACGAGACGGATCTATAAACATAGGGAGGCGGTCTTCTTCGCCTTGAGCCTTTTTCGAATGGTGGAGAACATATTCGATTTCTCATGATCCATCACTCGCGTGCGGACTTTGTCGGCGCGTTCTCCCACTCAGGTCTTGATCCTATTCATCGTTTGCACTTCCGGATTGTGAGGCAATGGGGTCAATAGCTAGCCGTTCAAACATGGCCGTATGTGTGGCGTTGATGTGTGGCGCTGGGGCAGCACCACTGGTACTGCGGAGATTGAATGTTGAACGTCCTGTCAACGACTATCGTCCACCATCATCTCCGTCTGCGTTGATTCGATTGTGATCGTTGATGCGGATGAGCTAGAATAAACTGGGTGGAAGGGATCCGAGAGTGGATGAGCGTTCCAAGGTTGACGCCATCTAATATCTTGGATAATCCTCATTGACCATGATCATGGGGTACTGCGTTGTTCAGTCAAGTTTCAAAACGGTTCGTCAGATCATACGGACGGTAACGCACCCTCTTGCTTGATATAGACGACTGAGATCTCTGGAACATGCGTTCCGCGGGGCCACTCCCGCTGAACTGATAATGTGAGATGACAGTGGGCTGTCAACATCAGGAATCACCTTGGGCCTCGACGCTCTTGCATCAACAATCCAGGTCTCAACATCCCCCATTTCTCGTATCACAGATACAGAATGTGTGCAAAGGGACAGTAACCCCGAGCAGCGTTCGAGGTTCGAGAACCACTTCGAGTTTATCAGCCCGTGATTGCTGATAACTTACAAGCTGTTTGTTCTAACAGTCGCCTGACGATGAGCCAATGGATGGTCAATCTATTTTGTGGAAGCGTTGCCGAAAGAAACGCAATGAACCCATCTTACGCCGCAAAACCTGCGTCGAGCACACCAAGACCGGTTAGTGTTTTTGTTTTGGTAAGGTGTCACGATCGGCTGATTACTCCGGCCCTCTGACAGATTCGAACGGTTCGTCAGATTCGCCCTTTAGGATTGATAAACCCGCCCGGAAAGGGGCGTTGCGAGGGTAGTTGAATGCTTCAGACTCTCCTCTTTGCTTTGGGCGGACTGTCATCATGATTGAGATGCCCTCTCGTGTCGTCTGCATCACTGGGTTGCGATCTCATTGCGTTCCCCGCATTACTGATGCAGGGTATGCCTCTAATATTCCGCGAGCGTTTCGGTTGACGAAATCTTGATACAGACTGCCCAAGATGAGCGGACTGGCGGATGTTCAGCCTTTGATGGTGGACAGCACGAACGATGAGCGGCGAATAGGATGGGTTGGAGATAATCCAAGAATCAACGGCGATTGCACAACTATATTCTGTTGTTTCACTCACCGGGGGTTCGTGGTTTCTATCGGTGAGTTTCTTCAGCTATGCAACATTTCCCGATTTAATCTTATATACATAGACTGGCTATACATCGGCCAAAGTCCATCGTACCTGCAGAACATCATCAGTCCTGGCAACGGGCGCTCTGAGCTCCACGGCGTCTCTCACTCCAAGGTATAGAAGACCGTCATGGACTGCCAATGCCGAAGAATGGTTCATTCGTAGGATATTTATTTCTGTCTGACTTGCGGTGCAATCCAGTGTACCCTCCGACTGAAGCGCCAAAGACGTCGCGGATCCTCGAACGAGGTTATTCCAGTCCTTTCTCGGCCTCAGGCGGTTATTTTCTAAGAATACGAGGTGTTCCATCCTGTACGCTTTGGAGTTAGCAAACAAGAATATAGGTACACATTGGTATGTCGGGGGCAGTTCAAAGCGATCCATCCAGGTATGCCAGTCTATTCTTGTTCACTGGCGGCTGTCCTTGGCTGACGACTCGATGAAGAAGCTAGCACCGCGTCGCCGATGATGTCGAAGGTTCATTGCATGATATTCTTCTCTCCATTCGGTCAAGGGATATTCAGCTTTAAATAAGCATGGCGAGTGTGAATCTCCTATTGACGCTTTGAGCTCATACTTACCTCGACTCTGATATCCATAGCCACTCTGCGCGATCCCTACAGCGTTCGAGTGCATCGGGAGTTTCAAGTTTCAGCCCCCCAAACTCCCATATAATCCTGCCGAGATGGCGCCGGTGCGCTACTATCAGCCTTGTGGTCAACGCACACAGCATCCGTTCTGGTAACTTTTCCTTGTCCTGCTTTGTATAATACGCCACCCCGACATTGCCCGAGCTCGCCACATGGCCCATCCATCTCCTTTCGTATAAAACTTCCCGTTTGCATCTGCAACTTTGTTTGGCGAACACGAGGTGATGAAGCAGTAAGTCACTCGATCACAAACCCAGCCTTGGACTCCTTGTTCAAGTTGTGCGTGGTTAGGTGACATGCACGAACACACGAATGGCTGGCATGCGATTGGTGGCGGGAAGGCCCGGAAGATGGTAAGTATGAATGTTCGTATGCCGAGCACTGGCATCATCGTCACCGCAGTGAATTCGATCGACTCGTGAAGTTCATTCACGTCTCAACAGTAGATGAATAATGCTTCTGGCTGCGGCTACTCACGTCCACGGCTTGCTGAGGACGGTGGTGGGTAGGTGGCTATCTAAACGTCTACCGTGTACGCGCAGATCGGCCTGGCTCTTACTCTGGATTTTTAGAGCCTGGACAGGAGCGTTTAATAAAGGCCGATGTTTAAGACGAAGGGGGACCAAGTCCCATGCTAAATCCCAAACTGCACCTTCTTTGGTGACGCATCTACTTATTCCGGCAGAATTCGGCGGGTATAAAAATGAGGCCGATCCCAAGCTAATCCAACATTTCGTAGCATTCTAAACTCAGCGTAAATAAGTGTTATCAAGGGCAATACAACGATTTATTGCAAGCGTCTGCGGGAATCCGTGATAGGCTGTTGTGAAATTTGTGTGAAATACTTACAAGTGAGATAGCAAAAATAGACGAATCACCAGTACTGCTTGCCTTCAAGTCGTATTCCCTGAAAATTCGCCACTGTTGGCTCTGCGGTCGTCCTCAGCATTGCACTTCCTTCCTTCTTCAAACGATATGGCGGGTACGTTTGCCTCGTTCCCGCACCTTTGTTTGGCAAGTTCCGCTTGGATGGCATGGTCAGAGGGTCTGACTCTGCTGGGATAACATGACCGTTTCTTCCTATATTCTCCAGCGAGGTATTGTATAGGATGGCTTAGCGAAGGATGTTGTTGCACCAATGTTGTACAATCCTCAGCGACTCCCTCGTATTCGTTCTCTCATACAGCCCTTTCTCGATTTCACCCACGTCACTACCAACCCACCCCCCTTTTATCACTCGATATGGCTAGCAGAGATCCGTCCTGCAGCTCTTCCTGCTGGCCATACAGATACTTACTGTCCGCATCCAGGCCGTGACTGGATCAGGGATCTCAACAACTACTTGCAAAGTACCGGGCAGGCTGCGGACTTGTGCTGGTGCATAGACGCTACGGATCAGTACAACACGGGGACCATCTATGTTACTGCGAAGTGTGCGTTCACTCCTGCTTTTCCGTGTCTCGTACCAATCCCGACTCTTCGTTTAACAGTGGGCGGAGTGCCCATCGCGAGTGGAGAAGGAACTACCAGGAGCGCTGCAAAGTCCAAGGCGGCGCAGGCATATCTGACCAGTATCGGCCTTTAATTCTACGTATGCATAGATTTTCGAAGTGAGTTTTTCAGCCTATAAGTCTCCGCCCAGTGACTTACAGCCCTTCTATGGTACTTATTCTATCCAGTCACATAGCACCGGCACTGAACAGTACAATTGCAAGGAAACAATGAGGCAGTCGAGGGGAAAGCGGGGTACATGCGTGTGTGCTAGACAATCCGAGTATGTTCTGTGATGTTCCCGTTTCATCTCAAGAGCCCGGAGAGGTGCGACGGTAAAATAGAATAACTCAAGAAGGTTCAAGGAGCTACCCACCCTCAATGTTGATAGTCCAGAGGAAACAAAAAGGAAGATCGGCTCAACATCGACCATGGCTGAGAGTGTCATAGGAAAACCCACAGGCTGACCATAGGCTTACCAGTGATTGACGGCAAGTGGCATCAATGCAGCCTGCAGCACGACAGGCTGCAGGAACACCCTTCTCCTTCGCATATCCTGCCTTGTCGATGTTCGGTTTATTGTACTCATCCGACTCGTCGGCTGTAGTATGACAAGGTGGTGAGTGTCAGGAATCAATTGTTTCCCCAGTGAGCCGATGCATGAGGCACTGGTTATTTCAAACGGGAGGATACCGGGTGCGATGTTGTTGACGCGGACGTTCAAACGTTCACTCCCGGACGAGGCAACTCGTAGTACGTATGAATGAACCAGAACTCAATCCAAAAGCGACCTCACACCACTTTGGGTGCTGCTCAGAACAGTTAAATCCAAGAAAACATTGTTCTACGATTTATTGCATCGCCATTCGACTCCCATAAAAACGACCCTATCGCTGCCACCGCCTGTGGGTCATCCGAGTCAAATTCCTCATTTTTACACGACAATCTTGACCATGAACCGCCACACCATACTCTGATAGCTTTTTCGTGTCTTTCGAAACTCGCGATCTACGTGCCGAAAGAGTCTCCAATGCCAGAGTACTAGCTTTGGCAAGGTTCTCTCCCCGCCTTAACTGTAGAACGGCTGTGAACTGGGAACGGTTTCGCTCTATGACAATGCGATTGGCAGAAGGCTCCAGTTTATATCTCTCGTGACCGAGCATGTCGACCAAAATCTCTTTGTGGACCCATGCTGCACGACGTCCGTCCAGGAACTGGAATTGGCGGAAGAGTATGCTAAGCAAATGTTGCAGAGTTCCTGGGTGCCCATAGCGAATAACCTTGTAGATATCGTCGACTAACGACGGTTCACGGTGAGGGTCACAGGCCCGACTGAGGAATTCCCGAGGAAACTGCGCCCAGAACCCCGCGTACACTTCGAGATTGGGGATCTTGACATAACCTTTCTGGCCGTTGACAGTTCCACTCTGTTAAGCCCCACAAGGGTGTTTCAATAAGATAAGATATGACGGTAAGAAGAGGTCCAAAGAGAAACTGTTGCGAACCTTCACACTCAGGTAACCTCACTGTATAAATATCATGCAAATACACTTGTCGAGCTCATCATTAGGCGTCGATGAGATACGCGGTATACTACTCGATTCAAGTCAATGTGTGCCTGAAGAGAATAGTTAAGCATAACATACTTCTCAGCGCTCAGAGCTTCAGCCCATTCAACGAGTACGCTCTCGGATTGTCTCCTCGCAAGATCGAAGAACGGCTGAATGAGGGTACCAGACGCCTGTTCCAAAAGGCGTAATAGGCCTTGGACGAGCTATCTCAGTGGTGTTTTACTTGAGAAATGTAAAGTAGGCGGGGAACTCACCTATATCGTTACAGTATCTTTCCACGATCGAGCGCTTTAGCGACAGAGAGGGTTGTATATGACATTTCCATCATATGTTTCGTAGCCCTCGTAGAGTTTTTGGAGATCGTGCATCGTGAGCTAATGAGGATATTCAGCTAAAACCACGACTGAGAGTTGAGAGTATTGCGCACTCTTGGACTGTGAAGGTCAATCTGGGACATTATCAGGAGGTTTTCGACATCTCCCTCTGAAAACATAGTCGCCGTCGAAAGGGAAGTATCGGCACCGTGCAGTGTGTGCACCTACGGGGGACTCGATAAAAGAATGTGTCGGGAAGACGGCTGGATGAACTCACTTGCAACGGGTCCGCGTCGGTACCCCAGCTACTCTTAGAGACGTTGAAAGCTCCAACCATGAGTGCGAAACGCAAGGCGTCCCGATCCTTCCCACCGAGTGAGCGAGACAGAGAAAGGTTGAGGTAAGATGAACAAACTGACGAACCTCGGAGGCTTTGTGATAGAATTTCGTATAAAACTCCTCAGCCTCCAAATGTGCGCCATCAGACCGAGCATCAATAAAATCTTGGATTTAGACTTACAGCTCTCAAATCCTCTATAGCTTTCTCGTCATTGGCAGAGTCCAAGGACCTAAGTGGTTTGTCATATTCGTCAATCAGCACCACCACCTGGACCTGTGTAGCTATCGAGATGAGCTTGATGAGATGCTTGAGGGAAAGGGCGAGGACATCAGGGTCGACCTTTTCGAGGGGCCTGGGTGCCTCACTGTAGATATCTAAAGTCCTCAGATGTTCGGGGTCCATGAGGGAAGCAGTGAGGTACGGCTGCCAGTAACACCAAGACTGGTGCATCATGTATGCAATTCTCTCAAAATAATCCGATGGGCGATCTACCTGTGCATGAAGACAAGGCATCGGTAAACGAATTGGACGAGCATTATTGACGACATACCATGTGGGTGAAAGTTGGGACTGGATATTTAGCGAAGTGCTCCTCGAAGCGCCAAGTGTTCGATGGAGTCAGCGCATCCAGCGGGATGTTCTGCAATTGTTTCAGGCGCTGTTCTTTATTAACCACCCACGGGTATTCGTGTCCTGACCTCAAGCAGAAGCTAAGGCGAAAATAGTCCAGATACGACGCACTCCCAGACACAGAAGGAATAGCACGAAGTTTCTCACTCACTCGATCATCTGCAGCAATGTACTTTTCCCCGATCCACGAGGGGAAATAAGGACATGGATGCCCGGTTTCCCTAAGAGAATCTCGAGAGCAAAACTCTTGTCTACATAGGCATGTCGCTCGAACCTCGGGTCGGGTGCCACAACCCTATGAAAATGCAGGTTTCCGCTGCTAATGGTCCCGCCGTGGACGGTACTCGTCCGTCGAGGTCGAGCAGGCATCGAGTGGGTGATGGGTCAATTAGGTGGCGCAGGACAGGATACGAAGCGCTCGAAAGTTTCGAGCCTAAATCGAAGGTATTTGTACCATTGCAACACGTGGGTAACATCAAAGAGCGAAATTGTGGGGCGAGTCACGCTCAATTCAGTTGTTCCCAAGTGAACCTGAAAGGACAAACCTGGATTCTGAGGATATTCGTACACGGCTGTCATGATCAGTACAGGGAAGCATGGACAACACGACTGTCATAGCCGTCGAAGGCCCAGACGCAAATACAATAGATATCCATTCGTCACACACAGGGAACATACGGACGTCCAACCTTCCGAGCCAGTCCTTCGAAGACAACCACTGAACATGAGTAACGTTGAGCGAATATAGACAGAGAAAAGTAGAGATAATTAAATAGCCAGGTTATACTCGTACTCCGATCCTCCGCTCTGAGCTATCCAAAGTACAATGGCTGAAAGCATGAGCGCCACGTTTTGTGAAACGTTCGCGTACCCATAGTAGAGGAATTGATCGGGGTAGTCATTCAGGATGTACTTGAGCACCAGGACCGTCTGATAGCGACAAATCGTAACCGAGCACAGGTCAATAAAACAACTCTCCTGCGAATGAGCGACTAGTGAAGAAGACGTACGACACTCCCTGCCAGTCCTCCAGCCATCAACGCAAAGCCTATGAACAAAATCGACCTTGCTCTCCAGACCGCCCTCGCATCTCCAAACGCGGTGTCCCCATCCCCTCTCACGCGATCCTTGTCAATCAGGTTGATGATGATCATGCCGAGCAGGCTACAGATGCCCGGGATCCAGTCGACGAAGGAGACATGAACTGGAACGGGTCGTTCGGGCTCGTTTCTTGGGGAGTGTGCGTGCGCTGAAAGGATGGCGGCGTCTAGGAATGTCCAGTTTGCCAGTGCGAACTATATTTCCGAAAGGATAGTATTGTATCCGAGGGCATAATTCATCGTATTAGCTCTAACGACCATCGTGGAATTAGGGGGGAGACATACGAGGCCTCCAGCAAGATAGACGCCTATCGTGCGCCGGTGTTTTCCGAAAGAGATGTTGAGGTTGGGGAATGGGTTCAAGCAGACACGACGAGGGTCATAGTTGGAGCGAGGAAGAGACATGACTGCTCGTCGTCGAGGATAGAGGGTATGCGTTGATCGTGGTCTACAAGCCTGCGCGCAGCCGTGGGAGGCGCGTGGGAACAAGTGAGTACTCTGGCCGAAAGCAGCCGTGTGGCACATGAGGGCGGGAGGCAGTGGCCCAACTACAAAACATCAAACGTTCTTCAAGTTCCAACAATTCAGAAAGGCAGTAAATATATACATATGAGTGTTATATACAACAAGTTACGACCACACGAATTCAATGCTAGATGGTCATAGAATCAAGCATGGTGGACATCTCGGAGTCGACCTCCCCCGCACTGCCAGTAGACACATCCTGACGTCGATGCCAACCGGACATTGACCTACACTGAACATAACATTCGTTCCCAAGTATGGCCAAGCTATATACCAGAGTTTTAGATTCTCCTTCTCGACAGTGAGACTTGAAGCGGTCCAACAACTCCGAGGCTTCCTCCAGGCTCGAGCGCGCTGCTTGAACACAGAGAAGGACTTCTTTGTTCAATTCGGTTAGATTGACGGCCCTGATATCAATTCTGCCAGATCGAGGCTCAATTTCACTTGCATATGCCCACCCGTCCCTAGATTCCGTGCGGTAGTGAAGAAGACTGAGAATGAAGAAGGCGTAGCCCGTGTCGCCTAAGCGGTCAGAAACGGAGAAAGTCATGGACTCAAGAGTCTGGTTGAGGGATAATTGAACACGGTTCACGTCGCCTGAAAGGATTGAAGCATGGAGCTCGTCGGCGAGGAGCGAGGAGCGGCTGCCATAGCGCCACCAGTAGTCCTGGGCTTTTACCTCGACCCAGTCGCCCCAGAATCCGAGATGGACCTCCTTGTTCGGAATTCGAACACGTCCAAAGTCGGGATTGTGAGGCATTTCCGAGATCTACAGAGGTTACGTTCAGTCAAATGGCCAGCGCATCAGAAAGAAATACGACATACTCTCTTGACACTAAGAAGTCCCATGGCTACCAGCAGCGTGAATGTTCCGTCGTCGTCTACGCTTGGACCAGGACTAGAGAACAAATAGTAGGATTTGAACCACTGTTTTGAAGATAAAGAGTATTACTGAACCTACTCTTGAATCTTTAGTTTGCCTATTGGAGAAAGGAAAATTCGAGTTGACCCTCCTGAAGCGAGAACAAGAAGCTCTGCTTTGGCGTCCTTGGAGGCTAATGAAATATTCTGGTAGCCTCGGCCTAGCAGTTCTACAAGATATTCTGTCAGTTATGATGGTAACGAGTACAAGGAGGGCCATGACGTGGGTACCTTTATGTTTCAAATACGACACGAGCTCTCCTGAGGTCAAAGCTTGCGATACGGAGGAGTGTCTATAGAGCCGCGTTCCATCGGGGGCGTAGTATCCTCCATACCAGGATCGGAGATCCTCTAGAGTCATCTTTGAAGCAATACCCGGCTGGGCATAAACATTAGTCACGGCGGGTAGTACTCATATTCGACAGACCTACGTTGGTGAGCAAAGCAGACTGCCAGAGCTTTAAGACATCTTCCTCCGTGCACATGAGGCTGTTAGTATCGACGACTTCAGACATGACGGTAGAGTGAAAAGTATGGAACAGAGATACGCGGCTGGGGTGTGCTGGGGTGAGAGGTGTGTTGTAGTCCGAGATCAAGTTGTGACTACGGGGTTTTATAGGCAACAGTGCCAACGGCACGTGTGACACTCTGGCACTGATTACAGCCTTTGTCTCTTTGTCGTTTCGCTGTGCCCGATCCCACGCTAGTTCAGAAAGACAAAGCGTTAGCCTGACACAGAGTAAGAAATGTATTGTCCATGAGGTGTCACCCGGCGCTGGTGGCAACCGTAACCGTTGCCCGTTGTGCCCTCAATTCTGACCGGAAGTTGTGGGAGGACTAAGTAGTCGGTCGGGCCACCTCCTCGCTATCATGGCCACTTCATGTTTATCTTTACTTGTCACATCTTTAAGAACGATCTCACCTTTAATATCACCAATTATGTTTACCGAGTGACTTCCAACCGCGATGGTGAACGATGTCATGAGTATGGGCCACATCAAGGCCACACGCCACTAAAAGTCGAGTCAAGCACGTGGCCGTGTTAGTGGCTGCTTTTGGCTGTTTTCGGTGCGAAGATCGATTTGGGCTTGCTTCAAACCCGGTCAACAAAATTCTTGCACGAGTCATCTCGAGCTGTTATAAGCAGCCTTGCCTTTCCCGGCGCCCCCTCCCCCCCTCTTGTATATATATACGCCCCAAATATTCACAAATCATCCACAGGCGGTCAATTTTCATTCGACTCGATCCTACAGCACCTGCGATCACAACTCTCCCAGTGACCACGACTAAAACACTTCCGGATCTCTTCATGTCTCTACCATCACTCCCAGAAGTACCTGGAACGGAGCCAGGGCGATGTGTACTCGATTCTTTCAGGATTTCGATAGCAAAGCGAGTTGCAGATGCGCTTGGGCCACCGCTGACGGTCGAGAAGGTTTATGAAGGAGTGGACTACGGGAAGAAGGGTGTTGACTTTACCATTGCGTTGCCGAGGTTTAGGTTACCCGGTAAGATCGACGACTTGGCGAAGAAGGTGACCGAATCGGTGAGCGTTGATTCATGTATTGTTTGTTTCGAGCGAGGTAGAAACGTCGAAGGCACAGCGCCCACATTGCACAGTGTGGCCCAACACATATTGCGCATGATATGTTGTGGTGTAATTGCTGCAGAACCAATATGTTGCTGAAGGCTGGGCACGGATGGTTGTTGTGACCTCTGATAGAATTGAGATGTGGCGGGCGCAGGCTTGAGGGTTTGCTGAAGAGCGTTCCTTACACCCAAACGCCTCGCTATTTTGCCCATGGTCAATTGCGTTTGTCTTCCAATCCTTTGGGAGACCCTCGTTTGTCAATAACTTCAAGAACATTATCTCTTTAGGGTGATATCTATCATGTCTTGTCTGTGTGGCGGTCGCCCGTCAGTGTGGGCGCTCCTCACAGCGTGCATCAACTTTCGGACAGCCAATAACCTTCCAGTCCTGAAAGGTTGATTGATACTTTGACCTTCGAAAATGGCTAGCGAATACGTCAGTATAGCAGACCGTATACTCGACCTACAGTTTATTTTGCGGAGTTGTGACTGTTACAGGCTCTCCTAGGGATCATATGGCATGCACTTGTTAGCACGTTGATCTAGATTCTCATCGCTTCAGGAATACGAGAAACCCAAAAATTCCTCATGATAACTTGAATGATATGATACTCTCATCCACCCTGGACGATGTATCAAAACAGTTAATTCAGCTCAAATGACTGACTTATCTTCCCCTGTTCACTTCTAGTTTCAAGCCGATGACTTCATCTCTTCCGTCCAACACGACAAAGCCTTCCTCCACTTCATGTGCAACACCGCCTCCCTCACCCGCGCCGTCCTAACCCAAGTCCACACACTCTCGCACGACACCCCCTCCCAAAAGCCCGAGTACGGATCGAATACGTCCGGAAAGGGGAAGAAAGTCGTACTCGAGTACTCGAGTCCGAATATCGCCAAGAGCTTCCATGTGGGGCATTTGAGGAGCACGATCATTGGAGCGTTTTTGGCGAATTTATATCAGGCGTGTGGGTGGGACGTTGTCAGCTTGAACTATCTGGGTGATTGGGGAACTCAGGTGTGTTCCGCTCTCCTTTTCTCTTTTTGACCAGCCAAGTTGGGAGCGGAAAGAATCTGTGTGGCTGATCGAACCTTCCTTTTTGGGCCATGTTGCCAGTTCGGGTTGATCGCCGTCGGATTCGAGAAGTACGGCTCACAAGAAGAGCTCCAAAAAGACGCGATCAAGCATCTCTACGATATCTACGTCAAAATCAACGCCGACGCAACCAAAGACGAGTCCGTCAAGACCGCCGCTGCCGCCTGGTTTAGGCGCATGGAGGATGGCGACGAGTCTGCACTATCCAATTGGCGGGTCTGGCGGGAGCTGTCAGTGAAGAAGTACGAGGAGGAATATGCGAGGTTGAACGTGAGCTTCGATGAGTATACGGGGGAAAGTAAGGTGGGCAAGGAGTGGCAGGATAAGGCGTTGGAGAGGCTGAATGAGATGGGGTTAATCAGCGATATTGAGGGGGCGAAGTTGGTGGATTTGGAGAAGTGGAAGATGGGAAAGGCGGTTTTGAGGAAAAAAGGTTGGTCATTCCGTTCTACCGAGCGTCTGTGACCGCTGTTCTAACTGGGCTTATCGAACGCAGACGGAACGTCGATCTACCTCACTCGAGACATCGGAGGCGCCATTGAGCGATACGAGAAATATAATTTCGATAAGATGATCTACATTATCTCCTCCCAACAGGACCTCCATGTCTCCCAATTTTTCAAGATCCTCAAGCTCATGGAGTTCCCCTGGGCCGACCGTCTCGAACACGTCAACTATGGTCTCGTCCTGGGTATGTCTACCAGGAAGGGCACGGCTGTGTTCTTGGACCAGATCATCACGGAGGCTGCGGCGGTCATGCATGAGCAGATGAGGAAGAATGAGGAGAAGTATGCCGCTATCGAGGATCCGGAGTACACGAGTCTGGAAATCGGTATCACCGGTATCAAGATCCAGGACATGGCTGCCAAGCGGTTCGTCTCATTTCACCCCATTCGCATACTCTTCGAGGCGCACTCGTACTAATGTGTGTAATTGACGATGCGCAGAATCAATAACTACAACTTCAGCTGGGACCGAATGAAATCCTTCGAGGGCGACACCGGTCCCTACCTCCAATACGCCCACGTCCGTCTCGCCTCCGTCGCTCGCAAAAACCCCGAAATCTTCCCCCTCCCACCTCCCTCTGAAATTGACACTTCCCTTCTCATCGAGCCCGCCGCTCGCGAAATCGTATTCCTCCTCGGCACATACCCCGACGTCGTCAAGACGGCGCTCAAAACGCATGAGCCGAGCGGAGTGGTGACCTTCTTGTTTAGGTTGAGCCATGCGATCTCAAGTGCGTGGGAGACGGTGGTGATCAAGAGTGAGGCGGATGTGGAGAAGAAGAAGGCGAGGATGTGGTTGTATCTTTGTGCGAGGGACGTGCTTGGGGCGGGAATGAGGCTGTTGAGCATTAGGCCGTTGGACAGGATGTGAGCTGTGCAGCATATATAACGAGACGCTCGTGCAGTGCGACTTGGCGGTAGATAGACTGAAGACGTGTCTGCGAAGTGCTAATTTTCTTGTACTTGATGCCAGTAGTTTTTATTAGACGCGCATCATCTCAATGTTGCTTTCGACTAGGACGTTTGTCCCACATTGGGTACCATCAGACCTGGGTTATTCGTGGTCAAACCAGTTTCAGACAGATGCTGGCAAGTACGCACGCCGCCAGTTAGCTGGCTGTAACCGTCTCATACAGAGGAGATGACTGGGAATATAATTTTTATTACGTGTCGCTTGAAGCGAAGATACAGCCAAATGGTCCTCACGCAACTTGCATGGGTTTTGCAGCGCAAAAAGCATTGTACAAAAGTGTGTATACACTATCGAAGGACCGATGTATGTTGACACAGGCCGAAGTATGAAAAATAGCAGAAAGTACTAACACACAGAGAGAAGCAGGTATAAAAGGTATTTGTACTGGGTAAACGGTGAATCGGACGCGAAGCGGAAGAACATAACATACGTATCAAATCAAGGCTTTTGGGCGGTAACGGGGACATCACAAGTGCGTGAGATCACGGTATAGAACGGTGACTCTGTCGGACCACAGATAGTATGCGATATACGATAGCAAGTTCAGCTGCGCTCGAACACAGCGATGCCAAGAAATAATGGTGAGCAGGGTCCATCGAGCAAAGGCATGCAAAAAATAGTGAAAGGTCCGTTGATGACAGTGAAGACGTGTATGCAAAGCATCGTGCGACAAGACGTGAGATGGAGTGATTTCATAACCGACTACGATAGCAGGTCAGCACAATGGTTGGGAAGAAGGCGGGCTGAAGCACTCACTACAAGTACAGAGATAGCAGCAAAAGTAAAATTATCATGAGCCTGAGTCCGAAGCTGACGCAGTCGAAGACGCCGTTGCAGCGTCCACCGTTGGCTCAGGCAGCGCCCCCGTAATCCCTCCCACAATCCCTGACACTACACTTCCAGCCGCGCTCGCTGCCTCCGACGTTGCACTATCGATCGCGCTCGTCGCATCACTGAAGATACTTCCCGCATCGCTGGTAACATCGCTGACTACACTCCCCACGCCACTCGTCACTTCGCTCACCACGCTGCCCGCATCGCTCGTAATCTCACTGACAACGCTTCCGGCTGCGCTGGTAACACCGCTGACGATACTTCCTGCAGCACTGGTCACTCCAGAAACGACGCTGCCGGCGAAGCTAGTAGCTCCTGAGACGATGCTAGACGCGGCGGATCCTGCACCTGAGAGGATGCTAGACGCCGGCGAGGTCGAGTTCGTCGAGTTGGTTAGGATCGACTGCATCTCGGATATGCTGAGAGAAAGACCATAAGTCGTTGGAACGTCGTATTGCGTGATGTGGAGCCAGGGAAGAGTATATCCGCTCTGGTCGCCAACCCTGGTGAAAAGAGAAAAGGCCGTTTAGTATTATATATTTTCAAGATAACGATAGACGTGGGCTTACTGGATTGTGGCGGCAGCAAAGACATCGAGATACCCCAGTGGAATAATACCCAACGAAAGCAAAGCACCTTTGGTAAGAAGGACATTACCGAAGGTACCAGAATTGGCCGTGCCTCCAGCTGGGACAACGAAGCTGTCGAAGCTCTGGTCGAAGTGGGCATACGTGGTATTATCCACACCGGAGTCGACTTGGGAGAATGTGACGGTCAAATCGGAATCGAGAGGGTTCGCGAGCTGAAAGGAGCAAGTTTAATCGTTCATTAACAAATCAGTTAGGGGCTAATGGTGAATAGAACGCACATCGAAATTGATAGAGACAAGATTATCGAGCAGAGTATCCAGAGTTATGAACACGTTGATGTGCGTGATGATTGGCGCAGCATTCATGCCTGGAGAGACGGTGCACAATAGCAATTAGGGTACATGTCACTGTAAGATGAAATGGATACTTGACGTACTCTCTAGACTGGTTTCGATAGTTATACCTTCCAATGCAGGAACAAGAGATCCATACGGTGAGCTGTCCTCGTCTCCTTTGATGGTAAGCGGAAGACTGTCGGAAGACTGCACGAAGTCGCTGATGAATCCTTGTGCGATTGTGTCGTTGGCATCATCTGGCATGTAGTGGAACTCTGCCTCAACCGAGTTATCGCCTGGAACCAGGTTCAGGTTCTATGAAGGGATGCCCTCATGAGTAATCTTCTTCGGTGTATAAGCAGAGAAAGACCTACGTCAATAGCTGCTCTTCCAATCTTGATATTGTCATAGTACACGGCGAAGGACACGTCGTCCGTGTCCAGGGAAATGTTGGAGGGATTGCTGAGCGCAACGGTCAAAGGTGCGACAATATACTCGCTCCCGCCATCACCTCCACTGCCGGTCACAGAGACGTTGCTGAGTTGCGCAGTGCCGCCCAGTCCGTTGAGACCTGTAAGCGAACGTCAGCAGGAGTGCCTGTTATCTTGCCTAACAAAGAGCTTACCAGCCAAGCTTGTCGTCACATTGAATCCAATCTGGAATATATCGTAAGTGAGGTTAGAAATAGGGTGACTTAGTGATCACACTTACACCTGCGATCGGGACATCGCCGATAGAGGTCCTGGCTACGATATTAGCCTCCCCATTTAACTCGAAGCTGACTCCCTCTGTGTCCGTCACTGCCTCGAAGAACGCCGAGAAGGCGTCATTGTTCAGAGAAGTCAATGTCGCATTGGAAAAGCTGATGGTCAGATCGGCGACATTTCCTGTAGATACGCCGCTCTCAGTTGGGGTCGAGGGTACAACCAACTATAGACGGGTCACGACGTCAGCAATGAGCAACGGTATGTCGCAAGTAGGCGGGTACCTCGGCAATATCGGTTCCGTCAGACGAAAGAGTGATGTTCTCGCCTGAATCGACAACCTGGAGAGAGAAGCCGAACGGATTCTTGAACTGGGCCAGGGTGTGCTCCGAGCTGGCTAGGGGTGCAAATGCTTCAGAGTCGTCCGTCATGACTAACTCCAAATCGGAAAGCATGATGGACTCGATGACCGTGAATTTCTCCCCAGGTAATGTCACGTTCAGCGTCTACAAGAATTTAGCCAGTTAGTGCACCATGCCCATGCCATCAGGCAACCAAGTCTCACCAAGGTTTTGAAAGCAGTCGTCAGCCATCCAACTGCGCCACTTGCACCAGGAGGCTGCACTGAATCTCCCTCTACGTTCAAGGTTGAGTTTTCACCGGCCAGGAATTGAGTAAAGAGCTGCCCGATGGTACTGAGATCATCACCGCTCTGAGGAATCAGGCGACCGGAAAGATGAAGGGTTGTGTCCGATTCGGCAGCCAGGAACAGATTGTCACCCGAGAGCGCTGTTGAAAAGAAAGTCAGATAAAGGAACTTTACGAACTCGTAAAAGCATAGGACATACATCCAACCTCCAGACCCTCATAGAATGCGGAAAACGCTACAGTTCCAAGCTCGATCCCGAGTTCTAAGCAACAGTGATCAGCCTTGAATATGGGTGCTGTGGTCAGCGCAAAACTCACGTGCAGGTGAAGGGATGTCAGCATCTGTCTCGACATGGATCCCACCGGCCGGATCGTCCGAGGGAAGATCAAAATTGGAGATTGTCACGCCAGGAAGGTTGTTGAAAGCTTTGAACGTGAGGTTTTTGCTAAGATTGACGTTGTCGAAGGCAGTCCCGAGGGCGGTCACACGAAGAGCAGTTGTCGATACGATCCACTCAAAGCTCGGATTACTGAGAATATACTCCGTGAACGTCGTGAACCTGATAGCAAGCGCGGTCAAGTGGCGGCCAATTTGATCACAAAACAAACCCACTCATCAGTATCGAGGATGGTAAGATGCGCATCAGTCTGATAGTTCGGAACACCAGAGTTCGCAGCCGAGCAGACTACAATCAATAAGTGCATCAGCATATAGGATTGTTTCCGATGTAAAGGAACATACCGGGAGGAAGCGTGATCTCCGCAATGTCGTTCCCATTCCATGACACCCTGATTTGATGTTTAATAAATCGGAATATGAAGAGTGGGCTGTTGGGATTCTCACGTCACAGGGTCCACAAAGGTGATCAACGCATCGAGAGGACCAGCGTCAGTCAGAGAGCCAACGAGAGACAAGTCGAAGCCTTCATCAGTTATATTTCTGTTTGAGGATCAGTAACGAAAGAGTGGCTTTTGTGTGTAGTAGGAAACCATACGTGATGTTTGCCTCGTTAAAGGCGAGAACAGCTTCGTCTACTATGGTTTGAACGATAGGGGGCGCCACAGCACCTATCAAATACAGAGCCGTAGAATCCGTCTAATGGCAAGACCCGTTACGAGGAGCTATCCATCTTGAGGGATGACACACGTACCTGAGCGGGGACATTCGATTGGTTGAACGTGATGTCTGCGGCGAAGGCTAGTAAGGGAGGAAAGGCGTCAACATTGAAACGAGATTTAAACAGAATGAAACTTGCATTGATCGATCCGAACTTCACTCTCGACATCAAGGTTAACTTGAAGGTTCTTGAGTGCGGCCAGGATGGCGTCGTCCACGTCAAATTGGTTGCCGCTAGTAGTGGTTGGTCAGTCATAAGTCATGTTTGGATGCCACTAGGTGTACCAACCTCACACACGACGAATTACCATCCGTTACGACGGACTAATGAGCTATGTCAGAAGGGAAAATCTCGCCTCGTCATGATGACGCACCGTATTGATTTGCGAGCCGTAGTCCGGATTTGCGAGTGCAATAGCGAATAAGTCTGGCAGGGGCCCTAAATCCACGCCATTGTCGGAGGCCCCATCCGTTAAGAGCGTAATGATAGTCGTGGGATCAAGGTTAAAGTGGAATGGTAAATCCTGAGAAGTGACGTTCGAGTGTCCATCCGCATGGATAGGCGATGATGATAGATCAACATGGTCAATATCACCGAGGGACAAGTTGCGGAACGTCGCATTGGCAGAAGCTTCGATAACATTCAGTCCGGCCGTGAACGGATTGGAAAGCGTGAATGTGGCTTCGGCAACTCCAGTCTGCACAATATCGGTAGGAAATGTCAAAGAAACGGCGGAGATGAGAGACTCTTGAAGCCCGGGTAGTATAACATTCAGCTCGAGAGTCTTGAATGCGGTACTCAACCAACCAATCTCTGCTGTACCAGGTCCACCCGGCTCTACGCTATCACCGTCGACGTTGAGCGTCTGGTTGACTCCGGAGACATACTGCGAGAAGAGCTTGTCTATCTCGGATAGATCATTGTCGCTCGGTGTGACGATTTCGCCGGTCAAAACTTCCATTGTGGTGGACTTCGGTGCAAGTGAGAGGCTGTCCCCCTCGATGGCTGAAATAGGAGCTTGTCAAGATACAGCTTATGAGGCATGCAGATGTCACTCACGGCCGACCTCAGTGCCTTCGAAGAAGGCGAAGAACCCGACCGTGCCAAGGTTGATACCGAGATCTGAGTAGGAGTCAATAACTATCATCGTGCCAAAAGAGGAAGGAATATTTACCGGCAGGGGAAGGAATAGATGATGATGTGTTGAACGTAATGCCTCCGTCACTCGTACTACCAGTGAGATCGAAGTCGCTTATCGTCACGCCAGGCAAATTGTTGAAGGCATCCAGAGAGATGTTCTTGCTCAGGCGTACACCATCGAAAATGGTCCCAAGTGCAGTTACCCGGAGGGCGGAGGTCGAGACAATCCATTCGAAGCTCGGATTATGCAGTAAGAAGGTGGTGAACGACGTGAACCTGAGTGTTTCGCTTGGTCAAAAGGTTCTTCGAAAGCCGCACTTGAGTTGTTGTGGACAACACTCACCCGTCTGTGTCAGTGATAGATAAATGTCCATTGGTCTCGTAGTCCGGCACACCGCTATTTGCACTAGCACATACTGTAGATGCCTTTCCGTCAAGCAGATCCTGTAAGCCCTGAAAAAACATTGAGTTTACTGACCCGAAGGAAGGGATATCTGGGCGATGTCGTTGCCATTCCATGAGACACTTTACCATAGCATTAGTACCTAGTCGGTATGTGCAGAGCTTTTGGAACTCACGTAACAGGTTCGACGAAGGCAATCTCCGCATCAAGTGGGCCAGTGTTGGTCAACGAACCCGATAACGACAAGTCAAAGCCCTCATTGGTGATATTCCTAGATCGGCGATGTTATTCTGTGGTAGCGTAGGGGGAATACGGGAATACGAACGAGATGTTTGCTTGGCTGAACGAGAGCTCCGCTTGATCAACTAAGGTCTGGACGATCGGAGGAGCTACTGCCCCTATCAGATAGAGAGCCGTGTTGTCTGTCTATATGCCTGTCAATGTTGTACATCAGTCAAAATCAGTCGGGATTGGCTTACGAGAGCAGGGATATTCGATTGGTTGAAAGTCAAGTCGGCGGCGAAGGCTAACGCAGAACGAGTTAGGAAGAAAATACGTTTCTCAAAAGCGATGTCCTTACATTGGTCAATACGGACCCCGCTCTCAATATCTAAATCGACGTTAAGGTTCTCGAAAGACGCAAGGATCGCGTCGTCCACATCAAACTGGTTCCCACTGGATAAAATAAACATGTGAGAGATGGTCAGTGTGCATGAACCGGATGGACCTCACCTGACGCACGAGCTGCTGTTATCCGTCACGACAGACTGTATGATCCGAGCTTCAGTGTAAGTTACATGCGACGCCTACTGAAGGGGCTCACAGTATTGATCTGACTGCCATATGTGGGATTCGCCAGTGCAATAGCGAACAGATCAGGCAGCGGACCGAGATCGACACCTGGACCAACATATCAAAATGAGACGCGAAAATGTGTGGACCTGACATATAATCAACAAACCATTGTTTGCAGCACCATCGGTCAGTAAAGTAATGATGGTCGTGGGATCAAGGTTGAAGTTGAAAGGCAACGACTGCGAGGTAACATTTGAATGACCGTCGGCATGAATTGGCGAGGAAGAGACATCGACATGGTCAATGTCTCCGAGGAACAAGTCCTTGTAGGTCGCGTTAGTCGTGATCTCGAAGACGTTCAACCCAGCCGTGAAGGGGTTATCCAGTGTAAATGTAGCCTCTGCGACACCCGTCTGCACGATGTCAGTCGGGAAAGTCAGTGAAACTTCTGATATCAACTGCTGCTGTAGTCCTGGCAGCGTCACGTTCAAATCCAAGGTCTTGAACGCTGTACTCAGCCACCCGACGGCGGCAGAACCAGTACCAGAGGGCTCCACCGAATCCCCCACGACGTTGAGGGTTTGGTTCGCGCCTGAGACGTATTGCGAGAATAACGTGTCGATCTTGAACAGATTAGCGTCACTTGGAGGTATGATTTCGCCACTCAAAGGCTCGCTCGTGTCGGACTTTGGCGCAAGCGAGAGGCTATCACCGGTGATTGCTGCGAAGAAGCCGTCAATACGAAGTCAGTCAGATAGAGCAGAAAGACGCACGGCCGATCTCAGTCCCCTCAAAGAAACCGATGAAGCCAACTGTTCCGAGATTGATGCCCAGGTCTGAGTGTCAGAAATGTGATCAGCACTGAAGACTTCGACGGTGTACAGAGGCCACTCTACCTGCGGGCGATGGGATTAACGCAATCGTGTCGAACTCGATACCGCTGTCGCTCGTGCTTCCCATGAGGTCAAAGTCACTGATTGTAACTCCCGGTAGATTGTTGAACCCGTCGAGAGAGATGTTCTTGCTCAAGTTTACGCCATCAAAGTTCGTCCCCAGTGCAGTGACTCGAAGATGAGGCGTCGAGACAATCCATTCGAAGCTGGGATTGTGAAGCAGGAAGCTCGTAAAGGAAGTGAAGCTGTGGCGTGTGTTAGCTCGCAAACATCTTGAAAACCGATAGGGGATGGGACCTACGCGTCGGTGTCCGTGATTGTCAAGTGACCAGAGGTCTGGTAAACGGGAACACCCGAGTTTGCCCCAGCGCACACTAGGTAGAAAATAAGCTGGTGTTTCCATTCTCATGTTTTAGACTCTTACCAGGAGGCAACGAGATCTCTGCAATGTTGTTACCCTCCCAAGAGACGCTGCAAAGTGCAATGATCAGTCCCTGCGAATCTTTTTCGATGGTATATAGGGTTGCATACCTGACTGGTTCTAAGAACGTAATTTCTGCGTCGAGAGGGCCTGTACCCGTCAGAGAACCGTTGAGAGTAAGGTCGAAACCAGCGTCGGTGATGTTACTGTAGGTAAAGGAAGACTCGATTCAGCCACCAGAATACGATGTCCGAGCAACCTAGGAACGAGCCTGATGTTGGCCTGACTAAATGTGAGAGAGGCTTGGTCCACCAAGGTCTGCACAATCGGCGGTGCCACTGCTCCAATCAGGTATAGTGCTGTCCCATCGGTCTTGGATAAAGATGGTCAGTCAAGGGTGAGTTCGGCATACGTCGAGGAACTCACGATCGCGGACACATTGTATTGGGAGAACGCGAGATTGGTGGCAACTATAGAGAATATCAGCGCGGCTACGCAGACCGTACTCACCCAAAGTTAGAGCTTACATTCGTCGATTTTCGTAGATGTTGAAATTGCCAACGTCACATCTAAGTTCTTCAGTGCATTGAGGATAGCATCGTCGACATCAAACTGATTCCCGCTGAGAGTAGAGAATTAAGTATCGTGAAAGATGATTAGGAGGAACGGTCCTACCTGACGCAGGTAGAATCTGACCCATCCGTCACTACCGACTGCAAGGAAGAAATCAGCAGGCCGCCGAAAGATAATGTAAACGCATAATACCGTATTGATCTGGGATCCATAGTCGGGATTCGCAAGGGCGATATTGAAGAGATCCGGAAGGGGCCCAAGGCCCACACGATTGTTGGCGGCGCCAGCTGTCAGGAGTTTGATGATCATTGTAGGGTCGAGGTTGAAGTTGAAAGGTATCTGCTCCGAAGTAATATTCGCGTGTCCGTCGGCATGGATAGGGGAGGAGGACACGTCGACGTGATCGATGTCGCCCAAGAACAGATCTTGGAAGGTAGCGTTTGCCGTGATATCCAATATGTTGATACTCGCCGTGAATGGGTTGTCCAGAACGAAGGAACTCCGTGCAACGCCGGTCTGCACGATATCAGTAGGAAACACCAAGGAAGCGCTGGTAATCAAATTTTGGTGCAGGGCAGGTATGGTCGCCGCGAGCTGAATCTCTGATAGTGCAAGCTGCAACGACTCGATAGGTGTCGAGTCAGTTGAACCTTGGATCGTTGTGTTCGAAGACACTCCTTGGAGGTAATTCTCAAGGAGTTGCTGTCCGATTGGTACCGCACTGCCCTGTGGGGTGTAGTGGACGTCTGTTTTAGATATCAGTACCAAGATACGACCTTGGTATGACATACGACGCACCGATGTTGTATGTGTTGTTTCCAGGTTCAATCTCGATATCGCTCTAGAGGAAGTATTAGTAGGCTGTGTCGGATAGAAAGCAGAGCTCGTACTATATCCGCCGTCCCGACTTGAGCACCCCTGTCTTATGATCAGCCAATGATGAAGGAAACTTGCACGAAGAATTATGAATACTGACTGGAATTCGAGAGGAAAGGCGACGTCGCCCGCACCTACGCTATAGATCAGTAATCCTGAGCGAGGGGATTGTCGAGGAATTCACCTATCGTGATGTTGCTGGAAATTTCGTGGTCAGATAGCAAGTCTTGTAATAATGGAAGGAGAAAATACCTCGGATTGAACAGCGCCGCATTGACCGTGATCAAGAGATAGTCCGTGAAACCCTGGGCCACATCCAAGTTCGAGACGGTGACGGGTTGCGTGCTCAGACCCTGCAAGCCAGCAATGGTGGTATCTACCGTGAAACTGATATCAGTGAGGCTGAGCAAGCCGACCGCAGTGTCAGCATCGGTGTTCGCATTCCCCGAGAGTGTCATGGTCTCATTGACATTGACAGTCGTATCTGCAAGGAACTGCTGGAACGAGCTGTGCTTGTCCCCGAACGCAGACAACGGGACGTCGGAGAACGTGAGGTAAATGATGCGGTTATCGACATCCGTCGTGGTCGGGCCCTTCGGGATGGCGAGCTCGCCGATGAACGTGCCGTTGGAACCAATCGTAATGTTTTGTTCGACGGCTGTGATATTGATAGGGAAGCCGAAAGGAATCGTGAACGCAGCATTGGCATCGTTGCTGCTTGTCGAGGGATTCCACACCGAATCTGTGGAGAACTGGAGATTGAGCTCGTCCAAGGCGACCGACTTGATGATATCCAGAGTGCCGTTGTTGGGCAAGACTGTCTGGACCTGAAGGGTCGTGAGCATAGTGGTCATTGAGGTGCACCAAAGAGCGTACCTGTAGACTCTTGATGCCTTCGTTAAGCCATGTCACCTGTTCCCCTGGTCAGCGAAACCTCTAACTAAGCAATCAGGAGGGTCTCCGTACGTTAGTAGGTCCAGCACTGTCTCCCCATACGGTGACGTTGCTGTTCATGCCGTGGACATAATTGTTGAAGACGGTGGATACGTCGGCCAATCCTGAGTCGGAATCTTGTGGAATAAGGCGGCCAGCTAATGGAAGTGACGTCGCCGACTCGAATCCAAGAGTAAAATCTGACGACGCCACAGGACCCAAGTTCGTATCTCCGAAGTATGCTTGGAAGGCGATGGAAGACAGCGAGAACCCGACTTGCGAGGGCTATAGGAGATCTTTAGAGATTGAACTCGCTCTCATAGTGGCTACACGTACGTTTGTGACTGTGCTCTGGATTGTGAGGTGTATTCCACCTTCGGGATCGTTCTCTGGAAGATCGAAAGAGTCGATGACAACACCATTTGCGAGATTGTTCAAGCCCTTGAGTTGGACGGACTTCGATGACAGGGAGACTCCGGGAACGGATATACCTATCGCCCCGCACAGCTGTGACTACAAATTCCCGACGAACAGCTAGGGAATACTCACCGATGGCAGAAACTGAACGGATGAATCGTGGTGGGATTCAGCGCTTAACGGCGGTTCGAATCAGACACGTAGACTACTCACCGGTAAGGTTCTCCCCAGAAATTTGCCACTCGAAGGTCTCCGAAGTGACTAACGCCTAGATATTTCGAGTCAGACATGGATGTGCCTACATGGTAGGAAGGGACCTGCCTTGGTAAAATCAGTGAGGTGGTCAACGTCCGCGACATTGAACGTCGTATCTACAGAGAAGTTCCCGCCAACGTCGCCGGTGATATTGATGTCAGGCATCTGTATGTTCCCGAGGGACCTGTTCTGCCATGCGATGTCCAATCCCGAAGGGAACGATATAGAGGCATCAACTAGCGTTATAAAGTTCGCTATTAGTGACACGCAAGTGTTGTGGCACGACTAAATATCGTACATGGTCCAGATTGGTCGATGAAGCCCGAGAGTGAAGTGGCTGGGGAAGGCATCAGTGACGCATCGTATGAGAAGCCTGTTATGCATTCTTACCGAACGAATCCTCCGCAATGTCGCTGATGAGAACGTTGTTCACGCTAGCGTATATGTTCCAAAGAATCAGCTTATGCGGGTGAATATAGAAAGATGTTAATTACCCAAGGAGCGAAGCGTCAACGATCTTCTGGACAATAGGAAGAGCTAAGATAGGGAGCAGGAGGTTGATTGAATCGTCCGTAGTGGTAGTGACACCAGACTGCATGTACGTCAAACTAGTGGAGTAATCGCCTGTACCGAGATCGTCAGAGAGCTTGCATAGTGAGCGTTTCAGAGACACTTACCGATGGTGACGCCTGCGGTGAGATTTACGTCGGATTTGAGTCCCTTGAATGCCGCGTCCACGAAATTCGGCAGGTTGAAGTTTCTGTATCGGGAGTCAAACAAGCTCGTTACTATCAAGATTAGGCCAAAACGTACGTGTAGATATTGTCGCGACGCTCGAGTGATGACTTGGTACCGTTGAAGTACGACTTCAGGTCCGAGTATACGTCACTAACGGCACTAGGTAAACCGAGAAGACTACCGAATAATGAGCGACATCTCCTTCGTCTGAGGGACAAGCAAAAAACCAACCTATCGACGTAGTCCCTTGGTGAATGGGTTGATCGCTTCGCATTGTCCGAGAAACCACTCGTATCGAGGTACTGATATCCTCCCAGCTGGACGATCCCATCGAGTTGCTCTGTGTCCAAACCAGCCTCAACAGCCAGGCGACGCGTAACCGTAAACAGGGGCTCAGGGGCGAGGTTCAAGTCCAAATTAAGGTTAGGTGACGTGGTGTTGTCCTTTCCTGCAGACGAAAAGTTGGTGGCCATCGAGATGGAGCCAAGGTGAATACCTATCACCGTCATGAGTCAGCATACGAGTGTGACAAGACCGCAAGCTAAGATGACATATGACATACCGAAAGCGGACACGTTTGATTCAACCTGGGTAATCTGCAAGTCCGCAGTGAAGGGATTGTTGAGGGTGACCGTCACATGGGTGTTGTTGTCCTCGTGTCCAGTAGTGTCCAAGACTAAGAGGCATTGTTAGTCTGCCACATGTTCGATGGGAATGTAGAATGAACAACATGTACCTTCGAGGGCAGCAGACTGCAATAGAGAGGTGTTCAAGCCAGGTAGAGTCGCGTTGATACCGAGCGAATGGATAGCCTGCAATAACGACGCCACGTTTGTGCTACCGTCGTAGCCCGAAATTTCGAGGTCCACATCTAGAGGCAGGCATAGCTAAGCCTTATGTTAAGAGAAGGGGTTGGTGAGGTACATACTCTCGCCTCCAACGAACTGGTTGAGGGTTTGCGATCCCTCAGTGCTGTTGTTGGGCTAGCGGACGATGAGTATCGAACCGAACTGAAAACTTCGAGGCTAACGTACCGCGAATATGGCAGTAGCGGACACCGAATTGTTGCCCATGGCCAGAGTAAGATTTGGTAACGTGGACGTTCCCAAAAGACCAGCTCCGCGCCACAGTTGGAGAACTAATAGATTCAGGATTAGTACCTAGGACACCAGGTGGCAAGCAAAGACTTACCCAGATCGCCGGTGAAGAGATTGAGATTGGATGGGTTGTATATGTCAACTATCATGTATGTAACTCAGCACGTTTGATGCCCGTGAACAAGTCTGCTGGACGCACCATCAATTGAGAGCGACAAGCCTTCCGTCGTTCCGCCCACAACGTCGATGCTATCAATATCAACTAGACCTTGCAATCCTTCCAGACCGTCCAATCCAGACGTCACATTGAAGTTGATAGGGTCAAGTGTGAGCTCTCCGATGCTCAGATTGGCAATCGCCCTAGCATGTCCGATAAGTTGGAATTGGTACCATGCGCCGTCCGTTAAATCGGTTGCTTTCAGGTAAAGACTCATTAGTACAGATCTCACGTGAAATGGCCGGAAACGCTAGGACTTACTGAATTGAGAGAAGATCGAGTGCATGGCGTCAGGGATCGAGAGCGCCGTGTCTGCGATGCTGATATTGATTAACCCTTCAGTGTCCTGCGGTCCAAGGACGTTGATCGCGGACGTCGACGCCCCCAAAGGCTACAAAGATTTGTGCAAGTCAGCACAGCGACGCTGGCCAGGAGCTTGGACGCACCGTCGAAAGTCCAGCCACTGCAGAGCCATTCTTGCTGATGTTGAAGGCATTTTCGATCTGACCAATGGACAGGTCGAAACCGAATGGTACCTCTGTAAACGAAGACTCAGTGTACAGCAAGTTGGTTATCGTGAGCGAGATGACGAACTCAGGGAAGCTTGCACCGTGTTCGTGTTCGCAACCGGGGCCCAAGGATCATCCGAAGAGAAGTCCAAATTCTGTAGCAGATCGAGATCATAGTCGAGTTCAGCCCGGCGTACTGCAGTATCCCGTGAAAAAGGAGGGGAACAAGACGCACGAAGTTTCCGATAGTGATAGTCTTGATGGGGGCGATCTCGCCGGTCGGATCCTTCAGTGGGACTGTCAACGACAACGCTTGCAAGCCCGTCGACAGCCATGAAATAACTGTCCCGTCCGCCTGCTCCGTCGACAGACCCCTCGCAACGACAGGCGAACTCTCGCTATTCAGGTACCGAGTGAAGAGATCGGAAATGACGGCGAGGTCGGTCGTGGAATTGTGCGGCACAAGGACGCCACTGAGCGTGATAGTGTTGTTTCCGGGGCTCTGGAAAGCATATGGGCATGAGCATGAGTGCGCTAGCCGCCACCACATTAGCGGCGGCTCATAAACATGTGATACTGACGATGTTAGTGTTGTCGCTTGATCCCAAGCCGAGATAAACACCCTGATAGCTGAGGGCGAAGGAAACGACGCCGAGTCCGAGTTTAAAAGGGCTGGGGTCGAAGAACGAAGGTGAGCATGCATCGACCTCACAAGCGAGGACAGGTAGGTCGGCACTCACCTAGGGTTATACAGCTCCGTTGTGGCAACGTAGTTGATCCCACCGGCTGGGCTGTCACTAGGAAGTTGGAAATCTGATTGGATAATCAGCGGGAGAGGACAGGCATCGAGCGTACGTATCTCTCACCAGTTATCACAGCGTTGTTCTGAAAGTTGTTGATCCCGTTCAGCGTGATGTCTTTGGTGAACTGTCAAGATGTGAGTAACGACTTTTCCCGGAAGACTGCTCACGACTCAAATCTTACTTTCAGCCCTTTCGAGATTGGCAGCTTCAGCGCTCGAGCTTCAAGGTTGTCGCTCTTCAAACGCCAGGTAAAGTTCTGGGACGTCACCATGTACGCGGTGAACCGTCCAAAAGCGTCCTCATCCGCGACCGTCAACTCTGTTGTCTGGTTGATGTACGCTCGCCTGATTTTCGGATTGGCACTAAGACTTTGTAAGGAGAACGTCCCCAGAGGGACTTCGTTGTCTCCATCCAACCAATAGACCGAGAGTGGTTGGGTGAAGGAGATGATCGCAGAGAACACGCCGGTATGGAAAACCTGTGAAATGAATGACGCATGAGTGGCTGGAAGCTATGTCCGAGAGGCCGAATTCACCGTTCCGTTCAGGCCCAATGTGAAGCTGCCGCCATATGATTTGTTTTTAGCGTCTCGGAACGTCGTTCTAGATAATGAAGTGGGCTCACGAAGTATTTGACGGCTGGATAATTGCCGCCGCGTCGATACCAATACTCGATACATCGACAATATGTTGTGCGATCGCGCCGACGACGGGAAATAGAATCACGAAGAGCAAACCGATGCCGATGAGGGCGCTGACCACCAATCCGAGGAGGAATATTTTCTTTTCGTAGAACGGAGTTCCCTCCTCGACTGCTCTAGGCTCTGTTTCTTTCGACGCCAGGGCAGCACCTGTCCCCGCACCACTAGCGCCAACAGCCGCCCCTTTCCCCACATCTTCCCCAGCTTCCCCAGATTCTCCACCTAACGCTAATCCAACGCCTCTTCCATCTCGGGGTTCGTCTTCCACAGATCCATGAGCATAGCTGGCAGCGTTTCCTATAGCATGATTCCCGGCGACGAAGCAGCCATACACGCAAATGAGCCCGTATATCAGCCCGACGCATCTCGATAAGGCGAGAACAAGCGACTCGGAAGGACGAGCACACAAGGAAACGCGTGAAATTGAACGTACCCGGTAAGGAAGCTCTTGACCCTCCGCTCTGTACAGAGCCAATACTAGGCGCAGGGCCCTCGAACAGCCCACTATCTTCTCTCGGTGAATGTTCCGCCATGGTCGAGCGTCAAACCTCGAAGACTCTCCCGACTGGCAAGGGTAGGAGCGTTGAGGATGAGTGGGAGGAGCTCTCGGGGGGGACGACGCGCAGGCCAGGAAGATGTAGCCGAGGCTCGAGACGCGAACCAATCCTGAGAATCATATGCGTAATTTTTCGAGGTTCGTACGATGCATGCGACCTGATCAGTTGCTTCGGAAATTGCGATCACGAGGGTTCCGCATCGTCGTCGATGGTAAATGGAAGTGTTATAAAGATGACGGTGCGTTCTCATGCATGTGACTGATATTCTAACCGAGAGAGGTCTGGGTTTCATTTACGGCCCATCATACAAACACTTTCAATGCGCCTACAATGGAAGAAGAAAAGGATCAGTACTCGACTTGAAACAGGAAAGAAAAGAGGAATGAACATATGTTGTGTGGCCCAACAACACCGCCGGCTTCATGGGAATGGACAGGCGTCATTCGAAGCTGGCACGGATGCAAAAGAGAGAAAGAAGCCACGCCCATTGGCAGCCCCACTGTATCCTGTCCGCTGAGAGCAAATCGATGGATTTGGATTCGACTGAGCGTTACTAGCAGCGACCGCCACAACCCCATTTGTCGACTTGAAACTCTGACTCGGACAGAAAGGAGAACACCGTGTCGACGTCGCTGAAAAGAAGAAGAAACAGCAACACTTGCCCTACGTATGCTGTAACTTTCTGGATATACACTATGTGCCAGACGATGGCTAGCATAGGTACTGTATATATGCCTCCCAGCCCCGACCAACAAAACCAAACACAACTGCGCAAGAAAGAAAGCCATCCAAGAACGGATGCCGTTCTGACTTCCACTGTGCCACACCACGTGGACCACTCAACTACAGCAAGCACGAGGTGGTGGAGCCGCAAAGAACCAAGGCTGACCCTCAAGCCAAGAAAAGGATGCTATAATTGGTCAGAAGATCGCTGAACCGGCGGGGCGTGCATAAGTGAGCGGTGGGCGTCATCCAAGTTCTCCGGCACCGTACTAGTAAGTACTCAAGTCAGATGGGAGGTAAGTATAAAAACGTGAAAGAACCCCTCGTTGACATCCTAACCTGTATGTGCTCCAGTAAATGATTACTTATGTCGAGAAATTTACGGGAAATTCGCCTTTCCGGGTGCTTCCGCAGCCGTCGATCACTTATGGATCGGCCGGCCGCGGCACGGCACAGCCACGCCACGTGCGTCCACCTGCCTCCGTTGGGCGTCGCGCTTCGCGCGCCGCCACTTTGCTTCCAGTGTTCGAACACTTCATCTCTCTCGGAGCTCTCCATTTCGTCTCGATGGTTTCACTGTATATATGCTTGTATCATATGTTTCTCTCTATTGTAATTACTTTGAGTGACCTCCAGTACCTGCAAGTGTCTTTGTATACGAGTTTTTGTTTATTTTCTTCTCAATTCTTGAGGCAGAGGCTACCAGATGGCACCGTGTGGCCCAGAAAAGTTTGAGTGATGGCCAAGGTCAGCCGAAGAGCGTGCGATGACGCCAAGACCTCACGATGGACGAAAGCTGGTCAGCCGCTAAATATAGAGCGCGATGCGCAAAAGAGACGGGCTTGAACGCACTGACGCCATGCCGAAATTTAAGGAATAAGTTGCAGAGCTCGTTCGTTTGGCGGGAATAAGTGAAATAAGTAGTGCCGAACTTAACATTTACAGAAAATTTACTGAAGAAGCTGCTTGCGATCAAAGTCCTGTAAATTTTTTGTAAGCGAGATGAGTCCGAGATGTGTATCGGACAGTGCCACAGGCCCGCAATACTTAAGCGTTCTTGGGACGTTTCGCTCCTCTCTCGTGCCGCGAGATCGCCACCTCGATAGAAGTTATTGTTTTGGGCGCCTGCGGCGCGTTCGATACTCAGAACATCCTTTGGGTGACCATTTTTCGTGCCTGCGGCGCCCGCAATGAGAAAGTGCCACACACAACTGAAAGTGGCTACTGCAGTGCCACCCAAAGCCTTGCCAAAGCCGCACACATACGAGAAACAAAAATTTATTTATATCTGTGTATGCACCTAGATACTCTGTTTGTCGGAACCACACTCCCGACCCTCGAATCGTGCTCTCAAGGGATGGCGAGAACGATGTCTGCGCTGCGACGGACGTGTACCCAGAACCCGGCTGAGCGACCTCATCTCGTTTCACTCCGGACATCCATCGCTTAGGTAGTCGGCACGTCCTCGATCACCCGCGGCCATTTACTGGAATTTACAGGCAAGTGTAAATTTCTCTGATTATACTGACTTATGACCACGAGAGGTACAAAAGTGCTTACCTTGATCAGACTTGAATGTCCTAGACTGTTCATCACATCCTCGAAGATCTGCATCGAATGGGTCGCGAGTTGGACTCGTTCAAAAGTATGCGCAGCTCTCTAACGTGTTCATCCTCCATAGCTTCAAACATGCGAAGCATCCCATCCTATATCGAATACAAACAGGTGTGTGTACATTGACGACGACGACGATGGTTGAAATTTCGAACGCATTCTGCAAAGGGGGTGCAGTTCCCACGCCCCTCGTGGCACCCACGTGAAACAATAATAATAATTTCTTATTTTCGCTCTTGGTGCCACTGTGGCCTGCCTGCACCTCGAAACTATCACTGTACCAAAAACCAGCTCGTTCACGCGCCTCTACGAAGACATGCTCTCGGCATTCTGATAAGTATCCTAACAGTCACTCAGACGTATCTATTGGCCCCGACAAGTCTGAGGACCCGCCGAAATTCCTTTCATCGTGCGTCTTCTATCGTCGACCCCAACTACTGCGGCCTTCCTCCCCGCTCTACACCGGCACAATACAACTCCATAGACATCACACCCACATTCCATGGACGCAAAACCAACCGCGATTCCAGCTTGTAACGAGGTTTGATAGTAATAGTAGTATCGTCGACATGACATCGGAAGGGGGGTCATAGCGATTCATTAACTAGAGACGCAGCGCTTCAGAAGTTCAGACTGGTGTGAGCGGAGAGTCCGAGTCCCTCCCCGATCCACGATCCACTTTCATTTGAAGTATGAAACGGTCAGAAGGCGAAGTCGAAGCTCGAGTCCAGGGGCTCAGAAGTGTACACGGCGTACATCCCGACGTGAAGTTTGAACATCGTCTGAGTCGGAGCCACTGGAGTCTAAGTGTGAACGACGCGAAGGCAATGGGGCCCGGGGTCCTTGCGAGATGTGAGATGTGAATAGCGCGAAGACGACAGATACATAAGTTACAGGCGACGGGCGAACTTTGAAGGGGTCGTTATGTTTCAGGAGACGAAATAGGGCGGGAACGTGGACATTCGAAGGAAGGAGAAGCTCGTATGCCATCATTAGAGCTCGAGGAAGGTCGCCCGGAATGAGAAGATACCGGATTGGGAGACAAGAGCGGTGCGCCGAGTGACGAGCGGAGTTGAGTGACTTGTGAGTTAGAGTTTGAGTGCGTCGGGATCAAGCGCACGTGGGAGGAATTAGGAAGGCTCGGCGGAGGAAGCAATGTAAATCGGGGCAGGGAGGTCGAGATACATTACATGGTTGGAAAATTTAGGCATCCATGGTCTTTGAATGTCCTGGGTGTCTTTCGAAACAGCGGAGATGTTATGAACGGGGTTACCGTCGAGGTATTATGTACCGATGTCAGACCTCGATAAACAGAGATGAAAGGCGTGCTATCCTAGCTCAGAAAGCCAATGTCCCGCCCATGGTCAGCCGGAGATGCATTACATTTGGGGGTATACACTCACCGGAAAAGACATGAGAAAACACACCGAAGAACCCATGAGAGAAAAGCTTCCATATCCAAGAATTCGCGTGACGCAAAGTCTAGGGCAGTCTGCCCCGGATGAACGTTCCGACCGAGATAACAATTCCGGCCCCTTGGCTGCTCTCATGTTGTTGCTCGTCAGAGAAACACCACCATCACTCACCTACGGCTGTTCAAGTCCTCGACAATTGAGGTATCGAACAGACGCACATACTTACCACGAATTTAGCAGTTCACCTTTGCTCGACCACGTTGCCATGCCTCATGTTCGACCTCGACTTTGCCTTTGACTGCGGGCCGTCTAAGCAAATTACATGTATGTAGCGACGCCTGAGCCAAGTATCGGAGCGCAAGCACGATTGAATCTCGCGTGGGTTCGTCTAGTCCGTCCCTGTCGTGTTCTCCGGCGAGAAGCTTGGAAAGCCAGGGACGTGTGACGGAAAGAGTACAAGGTCGTTTCATCCCAATATGGTCAATGCAGAAAAGGGCGTCCAGAAAGGGGCAGCACGAGGCGGGAAGATAGGCCCTCGAACACCGTCGGCGCTTTGTCACGGAAGTCCCGACGAGCTCTCTCGACGGTCGTCGAGGATATGCAAAATACGCATCGGGCATGTCTATAGTCGTTGAAGAGGGAGGCGCGCGAGTACAGATGGTGGTGGGCGGAAGGAAGAGAGCGGTCGCGGAAGAGGTGAGACGCGATAATTGACGGACAATGCCTTTGTCAATTTGCAATTGATGGACGCAACGTGGGGATATTGCCAGGGTCCTCCGCGCGGTGAGGGCCGGGCCCGCGCCTGCGATTCGCTGGTGTGATCTATAAGACGTCCCAGAACAATTAGATATCGCCTTCGCCCGTCCGGCTTCCTTCCTTTCCTCACACCGTCTGACCTCGAGCCTCGCACGTCCCCGCCTTGCTTTATTGTTTCCTTTGTCTCTCCCTTCACATTTAGGTTCGTCGGTGGCTCAGATCTAGATGTCAAAGCACGATCACAACTGACATGCTTGTACAGAGTGGCATCATGCCCGTCGCACGCTCGAATCGTCGTAGAAGATCGTCTATCGCTAATCGTAAGCGCTCGTCTCTCCAACCTCCCCTCTTGCACACTAGTCCAACTAACATTCACCACAGCACCAGTCAAGAAGAATGCCAAAGATACCACCAAGTCACGAACCATCAACGTCTTCTCTTCGGCACCGGCGGCCACAACATTCACCTTCGCAGAGAACGTCACGCCCTCTACATACACAGACCCCAGCCCTCCCGAGCTCCCTCCCCTTCCCACAGAGCCCACACCAGGCCATCTATTCCCTGTCGTAGCTGATGACCCTCCTCCCGCGGCGAAGAAGCGACGAGGGAAGAACAAGAACGATCCGGATTATATTCCGAGGCCGGCGAATGCGTTTATGCTCTTCAGGTCGGATTTCATCCGGAGGAAGCATGTGCCTGATGGGATACAGACAAGCCAAGATACGCTTTCCAGGATCGTTTGTGAGTTGTTTACTTTCGTTTAGTCTAGTCCGATTGGTCCTGATCTCTTCGATCGACTGGGTCATGCTGGATTTACAGCGCAATGCTGGCACGCGCTCCCCGAAGACCAAAAAGCGCCGTGGAAGGTCAAAGCGGAACACGAAAAGGCCGAACACGCGAAGAAATACCCAGGCTACGTCTACCGCCCTAACCACTCGAAAACAAACAACGCCAACGCCAATGCCAACGCTAACGCTAACGCCGACAGTTCTTCCTCGACCGCCAACAACAACAACCACGGCACCGGCTCCGGCAACGGAGGCAAATCATCGCCGGCCGAAAAGGAGAAACCACCCCGTCCGCGCTCTTCTGTCCAAGAGGAAGAACGCGAACGTGCGGATCAGATCACGAGTTTGCTCATTCAAGGCATCAAGGGCGAGGCTCTGGCTGCTGTCGCGGCGGAGGCGGGTCTGAGACAGGCCGCGAGGTCGACTACGCCTTCGAGTAGAAGGGGCAGGGAGCGTGGGAGGGCGAGGGATGCTGAGAGTCGGGGGAGGACGAGAGAGGGCGACAGGGAGAGGGCGCCGCCGCGTCGGTCTTCGTCCGTTCCTCTTCCGCTTCCGCCGAATCACGTCGGCGGAGGCATCGATCTTCCGGCCGTCCACTTGCACCACCCCATGCCTGCCGCCACTTCCTCGAACTCGAATTCTGCTTCCGCGTCGTTTGCTCCCGTTTCCGATTATGCCATGTCCTTCGCACCTTCACAGTCACAGTCACAAACGAACGGCAACGCCCACTTGGGCATTCCCGATGTGTACATGCGTCGCCCATCTACTGCGAACATCGCGCTCCCGGGTCCGAACTTCACTCTCAACAACTCTGACTACTCCTTCAACTACCATCGCATGAGCATTCAGCACGATCCCTGGGTGAACCTGCCCCGTCGTCCGTCCACTGCTGGACCAGGGTCCGGACCTGGATATTCTTCGTCCTCTGGCGGATTTGGCTTCAGCCAAGGGTTCGGATTCGGGCAGGGCTTTGGACAGGGCTATGGTTCTCCTTCTGGGTTCGGTTCTCCGGGCTTTAACAATGGCTTCCGTACCGGAGTGGGTATGGGTATGGTTGCGATGAACCAGTATGGCCCGAGTCAGTACCAAATGCAGAACCAGTGGGCGCCGGAGGAGACGAATACGTCGTTATTTAATCAAGACTTCTTGGAGGGCAATGCGTTCGGTGGCGGCCAACAGTCACAGGGGCAGGCGCAGGATTCAGAAGGATTTGTACGTTCTTTTTCCGTTTTCGCCCTCCATCATTATTCTGTCGAAAATCGCCCGCTAAATCTTTCTCTTCTTGTGACAGTACAACCCCTTCGCGCATAATGCACCAGCACACCAATCGCCTCACGACATCGCCATCTCCCCACTCGACACATTCGACACTCACACTCAAGATCCACTGAACCTCTCGCAAGGCCTCACCAACTACCCCACCTCCGCCGTCTCCGAAGATCCCTATAACGGCTGGAACCCCGACCAATCCGGTTTCGCCGGTCAGATCGGTTACAACGAGAACGACAACGGACTCGCATACCCCGAAAGCGTCGCCTCTCAATCTGTTCCACCCTCGACCTACTCTGGCTCTCCCGATTCGTCCACAGTTTCACTACCCGTCGCACCCACCAACGGACCGCTGGCCGCGAACGGTGTACCGTTATTCGCACCACAACCTCAGAGGCTCGTCGACCCGAGCGTGAAAGCGCATGGACAAGCCGGGGACCACGACCCTTCGGCCACGTTCGACGAGTCCCTGACGCTCACAGAGGAGATGTACGGCTATGCTGGTTCGCCGATGGGTCAGGACACGTATTTTGCTGATGGCCAGGGATTCTCGCCCATGCATGCGATAGCGCAGCAGTTCGCCGGTGGGATGGGTGGCGGTATGGATGGCGTTAGTGTCGGTGGCGGTGGCGGGATGGGTGGAGGTGAAGACGCGATGAACGCGTATTCGCATGCATTGCGGAGTTATTCTGATTATGGGATGTCCAACGCCACCCAGGCTTCTCCCTCTCAAACCGTACCCGTCTCCGCCGATAACACTACTTCAGCGGGGACCTCGGTCATGACGATGACAGGAAGCTCGAACGAGACCGGTGCCATCAACGCGCCAGACGGGACGGGAGGCGTCTCGATCTCGCCTGTCAATCATGAGGCTGCGTCGTTTGGGTATCAGCAACAGGCGCCCTCCAGCCTGAGCTATGATCAACAAATCCAGGTTCATACTCAGTCCCAGGTTCAGGAGCATCAGCAGGCTTACGAGTACGCTGTTCAGAGCGGTGCCGGGCCTGAAGGCGTGGTCGGGCTTGGGGCGGTATCGCAGCCTGGCGCGTATGATGCTTCGGGGGCACAGTCTGGGTACGAGCAGACTGGGTACGACGGGTCACAAACGCAATCAGGATACGATCCGGCGTACGAGCAGAGTCAGGGCCAGGGCCAGAGCATGGTGGGCTACGACACGACGGTCTCGCTCGATATGTCCTCTGCTTACGTTCATGCTGACGGGAGCGGGTTCGAGTATGGGCATGAGTATTGATGAGAGGGATGGGTGGGCGGCGTTTGAGGCTGGTGGCGTGGTAGGTTGGCTGGTTGAACTTTCTCTGTCTCTTGGTTTCTTTCAGCGTTTGCTTGCTCGTGGATCGGTTCGGATTGGTTCCGCTATACCCTACCTCACTCATCTATTCATTCATGCCGGGTCGGGCGCTTTGAACACTATGACAATAACACAACGACTGCACACCGCACAAGCCATCGTATTCAATCCTATTCCGGTATGGGATCAACTGTAGCCTATATACTTATCTTGCTCTGCTCTGCTCTGTTTTCCGAGTCGTTTTTTTAATCGCTCGTCTCACTCCCCTAACTCCACTGCTTCTCTCTATTGTTGTGCCACCTTCCACTTCTTTACCCTACCGTTGTTCGTCGTGCCTCCTCTGGTCTCGGGCTTCGTTTCGGTCTCCCACCACAATGTAGCAATATTTATCGTGTCGTGCCTCTTGGCATCGACCTGTCCGTGTCTCGCCTTCGGTCCTCCTGTAGCCTACTACCCCCACAACTTTTACTACGGCTCGGATTGTTTATGACGCTCTTAGTAATACCCAACCCCTTTCCCTTTCTTCTTTCTCCTTGTGTGACTCTTGTGCCAGTAGTGTTGTCGATTCTCGGTATTCACGTTCAATCGTACCATAGCTTTTTTTTCTTCTCGGAACAATGTCGGTCTGCGACTGTCTTTTTTCTGGTTCAACCTGCTTTCTGGTTGCTTGCTTGGGGCCTTGCTTTTTATTGCTGTATATAGTTTTTGACTTGTCTGCGTCTTGTCTGCGTCGTCTCTGTCTGTGTAGTGTAATGAGATGAGCCTTTGATCAATCATCGTTTTTCGAGTGGTTTGGATTTGGTGTGACTGTCAAGATTGGCGAAGAGTTGACGGCTCTGGTGATTCGGAAGAAGTGGTGAAGGGCCACGATCGGTGCGTGGGAATTGTGTGTCTGCACGCCACCCAATGTCTCACCAGAACATGGGTCAATTCAGAATCTTCAAATTCAGTATCTAACTGGAGCTTTTATTCGTCGACTTCAACCTACGCATGGACAACGTCAATGATTCAAAGTTACACAAGACCACCATCGCCATCGCGGATCCACGCTATCGACATGACCAGTCTGAAAGTGAGCCAGTAAGTACCTAAATCGAAACTCAGTCCACATCATTCCTCAATTCCATTCGTTAGAGTCGTAACTTATTGTACAAAGATACAAAATGTAGTGTTGGCCATGTAAAATATACATCATAAAGGGAGCATCCACGTTGGGAAAGAAGAGCAGGTAGGAATCAAAGCATGTAAGACGCAACAAGAAAACACTGACAGCTCGAAAACATGAAACAGTACGACAGCGATAACGCACTGGAAAGAAACTACTGCTCCATAAAATGAGGCACCAGTACGTTTTCACGATCAGAGTCTAAGTCAGATGAACTAGCAGTAACGACGTTAGATAGAGTTTCAGGGGACTTGTCACTGCCAGTGGTCCGAGTCGGGCCCTCAGAGCTCAAAGGCTCGAGGTGACCCAACTTGTGTTTCAGGACGAGAGTATAGGCAGGCTCCTTTCCACGATTATTCCCCTTGGAATGGCAGGGGGGAGTACTGCTGTCAAACGCATGGAGATGCTCGCAGAGTTTGGGCCACAGAGGATTGATCCACCGTTTGTTCACGTGATCCCATCCACGAGCGAGCAGCTCGTGAAGATGAAAGTCAATCGGTACCTTTTTACGCTCCCAATGTTTTCCGTACCTAGACGAGATGGCAGAAGAGTTGGAAGATACTGGTTGCGCTGGATAGAGGGCAGCAACGTTCAGGAGCCTGAGTGCCGAAATGTTCTCTGCAAATAGTGAACGACTTACCACTATTTAGGTCCATAGGGTGAGGCTGAATCGGTTGTGTAGTATTTGTGGCCTTCTTGAAAACAGAGTCAAAGATCGAAGTTGACTTATTATGTTCCTTCCTGCCGGCGAATAATGCAAATGCTGCGGCATCCTGACGAGCCCCTGAGCAGCAGTTTAGCAATGGTGAGTAGGTACGGGACAAAATATAGTGAGGACTCACCGTCCGAAGAGCGCGAGCTGATTGGCGTTGAAGACTCTCGACTTGGGTCAAGCTCAGACGTCTCTTGTATGATTATGGGTTCGGGCTCTCGGATATCCGCAAAATAATGCTGTCACGACGGCCTGGATGAGTAAATGCACCTCAGATACGAATTCAAAGTCTCACAGAGAGAAGAACCACGACTCCGCATTTAGGAACACGCGCATCACCGGTGGCCATGATGAAGTTCAACTGATTTCTGAAGACAAACGACAGTGGAAGAGGCTGTCGCGGACGGGAGCAACGAGACAGTGCGTGAGCAGAAGTTTTATGGTCGCATCTGGAGTACTCACTCGAGTTTTCGATGAACTTGTCCTGACCTCCATACCGAACGAGACATCCAGTCCAGCTTTTGTCATGTAATCAGGCCTCCGGGAGTACGTGACCGCAAAAGATTCGACATCGAAATCATTCATAATTACGTCGCAACCCTTCTGTCGCTGGTTGAGTCCACGTGTGTCACTGAGCGAGAGAAATATTACTAACCTGCATCTCTTGTTGCTCGGTGGTGTTCTGACCCGTAGACGTGACGGAAAGTGTCCCGGTAACAGCCGCATTACCGCTTGATACACCTGCAGAGAGCGAACCTGTTTTTGACCGTCCGTGTCCTTCTGTCTTCTTGATTTGAACAGGTGGCGGGCCGTGATCATTCTCATGACTTTGTAACCTGTCAGGACACATCAAAGAGCAGGGCCGAAATGTACTCACAACCACGCCGTATAAAAGGCGTTCTTTGGGCCCACAATCCCAAGCTCCCCGTATGATCGATCTAGTTGTGCGTCACTCTCCCTAGTCCGTATATTGAAGTTTTCGATATGCGCATTAAAGGTACGCCCATCAGGGCTAGAGAACTACAAGGATTTCATCAGTGATCAATGATGTAGGGGAACAACAGTCCTGGAGGCATAGAACACACATAGAAGGAGTAGTAGACTTTTATCGATTCCCTACGATCCTCTGCGTCGAACGGAAGTGTGATGGCCACTTGATGTGTGTCTGAGTCCGCGGGCCAACGCAATCCATTGTTCGTGGGGAAGCCAGCTCCATTACCACCACCTCCCGGATCACCACCGCCTCCCGGACCACTACCTCCTGGACCACCACCACCACCACCACCACCACCACCACCACCACCACGACGGCCTGGGCCATCACCGCCGCCTCCATGGCTCTCGTCTCCTCCGAGCCGATCATCTGCGTTTTTCCCGTTCCCTTTCCCTTTTCCATTCCCGTTCCCATTCGCGTTCCCGTTTCCTCCCCCCTTCCTTGCCCCCTTCCCTCTTCCCTTCGCTCTCCCTCTCACCTTCTCTTTCGCCTTCCCTTGCCCTTCACTACCATCTGGCTGACCCTTCCCATCATGACCAGCATCACATCCAATATCATTACTGTTATGGCCGGAGCTTGGACTTGTGGAGCTGACATAGAAATCGGACAATTGTGGCGAGCGTTGCGAATGAGATAGAATGAGATCGGACTTACAAGAGGTTTGAGGTTAAGATATCGATGCTAATGTCCGACCTGACCATCACAGGGAGTCCCGACTCGTTAGCTAAACATTGCGCCACTTTCGCGGCCAAACGATTCGTAGACGATGCGAATACTGCAAAGCCCTCCGTATAGGGAGAAAGCATGAAGGGCATGGGAACAAGGCCTTTGCTCCGACCGCATGCGACAAGAAAGTGGTCGTAATTGGAGGCGATCCACTGGGCGGCGCGGGTGGGATGAAAGACAGAAACGACGACACCTCCATCTGAGAGTGAGCTCCTCAGTACGTCCGCATCGTGGCCCTGCAGGAAAGCGGATTCGGAGGAAGGCCAATCCACGGTCCTATAATCGAATATGAGGTGGTAAGAATTCAACGCGTTAACAAGAAAGGAGTGAATGCAGAAACAAACCCATTGGATGATTTCTTTTCGATTTGTGGCCAATATAACACAAATGAACACATGTCTCGAACTTCGTCTTCATTTGTGGCGACAAGATTGAGCATCTGGTTGAATCTATAGCAACTTTGCGTAAACGATACGTTTAATAAAAAGAAAATTATTGAACGGACGATTTCCATTGATCTATTTCACTCAACTTTCTCAATCTTGGCCTGTAAATGAGGGCTTGCCATCTTGAGGTCCTTCACATAGTCCATCGCACGTATTAGCACGGAGACCGGATCCTCTCTCTGGTCGGAATAAGGCAGCGCCGCCTGCAGACGCCTGTATTGTTCTGCAACTTCGCCATAGCTCACATAAAGGGTACTTGGGTCTCTCAGTGACTTCGGTCGTCAGTGAGATCGAGATGCTGGGAAGCTCACCGTCCTTGGGGGGCTCCAGGCAGAACTTCGTATAGTAACTCAGCGCCAGCTACTAATAAGCCAGAAGTCTCCATAGACCTGAAGTACGCATGATGTGGAATTAGACGAAATGAAACCCAAAATCAATGCGGAAGGCTGACATGGACGGCCGCTTAGCCTTCTGCATCTCACCGGCAGCGGATGCGGCCTGACGGAGAGGAACAGTCGTTCTGTGAGGCTCGGGAATGTCGTGCTCACTAATGGGGGTGATTAACATCATCGTGCGCCCTAACAAATGAAAAGCACTAACGCTTGCAACTGTTCCATCTCACTCTCAACCCGCTGAAGTTTCATTTCCAACGACTTCATTGTCGTCTCCAAATACTTGATATGGGACGTCGCATGATGTGTCAAGCTCATATCCCGATCCTCTGAAGGAGGCAAGACATCTCTGAGAAGGTTGACGGCGCCTTGAAGGTCGCCACGGCTATGGCTCGTAAGCTTATGCCAACTTGGTAAGCATTACCATCAGTGGCAGTCTTGATTGAGGTATCCACAGAGGACTCACGACTCGATGGCAGAGCTTACCGGGTCAGGCATCTCGTAATAATCGACCGCTCGACGATCCGTCATTGGTAAAGGCGGTAAAGGCTCTATATCGACAATGTCGCGGCATTCCCGCCAAACCGCCTCGAAACCACCCTTGAGCCAAGCGAGCTCGCGTTCTGCGATCCTGGCGTGCGGATGTGGTGATCGAGAACGGTGGGTCAAAGACAGTGCGTTTTCAGCACGAAACGTGCGAAGAAGGCTGAGGATGTTGCTATCCTCTTGTAAGTTAGAGGAGTCAATATCGTATACGAGGATGCGGTGGGCAGAGCGCCATTGTGAGAACTTGTCGCGGGCTTTTGTTGTAAGAGTCCTCGCTGCAAGTTGGGCAGTGGAGAAGTGGAGGCGCATGAGAGCCGAAGAGGGAACGGAGAGAGATAGCGCATCCGGTAAACGAGACTTGAAGTGTGCTTCGGGTGGCCGGAGGTCAAGAATCAACGTGTTGGGATCTGAAAGTAGGGGCTGAAGTGTGGCGGGAGTATACGAAGGAAACGATGCTGCTGGGTAGAGTATGTTGATGCGCGACGAGATATGGTCGGAAGATCCGGGTGCATGATATCGTGAGCGAAAGCTTTGAGACGTGACAGATACTGGGGGATGCAGCAGGATGGGTGGTACTTGGTGGCGCAATACGGTGGACGAGCCTAGCGATGACGAATGGGTGGCAAAATAAGAAACTCCCTGTGTCTCTTCGTCGGATAGGTCAGAATCAAATAAAAAATCTTGTGGCTCGTCATCGCATAGAGTCTCATGGTGGTAAAATTGGAGGTCCATCGTGCGCAACTTGCGTGGCAGCAAAGACTGCTGGGGAGAACTGAGGTATGAGAGGTGACAGCGGTAACAGTGAGTGAGATGACTCTGACTGTACTCATATGTATGGTACAAAAACGTTAGGACGTACTGTCAGGTAGTTTGTACCGTGGCTGCCTTGAGTAAATGATACCAGTAGTGAAATCAGGCAATGCCGTAGCCTACGAAATTGACCGATGACTCAGAAACTGGTATGCATTGTTGATCGAGCATTGTGAAGTTACCTAGTACCAAGAAGGGCTAAAAAGTTTTCCGACAGCGAAAAGAACGTTGTTCGATGCTCGATCGTCAATTATGAGGGGGCATACGAGAAAATATGTTGGCTTGGGTCCAAGTTGTTTCGCAGGGTGGTAAGCGAGAGGTCGTGAGAGGTCACGGTCATCACACTGTCAGGAGGACGCGCAAACAGCGCGGTTCATAAGGATCCTCGGCCCCGGAATATGGCGACCGCTTGAAGGGCCTTGTCCAATGTCAAGTCCAAGTCAGTATGTCGTTACAGTAGGGGTAGTTGAGAGACGCGCATAGCTAAGGCGATTTTATTTCGTAAGACATGGTACTCAAGATGAATCTAGAGGCTCGAGTAGAGCGATCCACAAGCCATGTGTAAGTAACTTAAGTATTAGAAGGTATTTTTTGTCATTGTGCCACAGCCGGCTTGATGAATTCATGGCACGTAGATAGTACACCCACGTCTGGAGTACACCTCGCTTACTTACGAACAAGGGAATGCGTCTCTCGGGAAAAAATGTACGGCAGACAGCGCCTGCATATCGTGTCGTATGCCACTCGGCAAACGCGGAGCACACCTCAATAACATCCACAGATGCGCTGTATTTTTTCCAATGAGACCTTCAAGACCGGAACACCAAATGAAACCACGCCAGCACTGCGATCAGCATCACCATTTATACTCAATCTTGAAAGCCCACGCATTCGCAACCTTCTTCAACGCCTCCTCATCCACGAACAGCTCAAACACGCCCTCGTCTGTCCAGTGCCATTCCACTCCTGCCTTTTCCTCTCCACGCCCAGTGATGGTAGTCGAGTTGGAGGAAGTCGTGGTCGTGGTCGTATTTCCGAGGAAAGTGACGATGTCGCCGTTCTTGACGGGAAGTGGGAGGGAAGTTCGAATTGTCCCGTTGGTAGGGTATTCGAGAGAGATGATGTAAAAGGCATCAGATTTGGTAGTCTGCGAATCGGTAAATGCAAATGCAAGGAAGTGAGCGAAAAGATAATATGAAGGAAAGATAAACGTACGAAACGCAGGTCAGACGCATCATCTTCCGCAGCAACAAACCAATATTGCGTATCGTAGATCGCGTCGCCTCTGAACATGTCGACCCCCTTTCATCAGCACGAATGATGTACAAAAGCTATGTTTCTGGTGTAACTCACGCAATCTGCAACCACTGGCCAACTTCAAGTAAGGAAGTCACCGAAGGCTCTACGATCGTCCCTACTCGTCCACAGGTTCATTGATCGATCAGGTACTAAAACTCGTAGTAAAAAAATAAGGATAGAACGTACCGTTCGCCATCGGACCGATATCGATCAAGTAATTCCCATTTTTCGAGACAATGTCGATGAGCGAGTGAAGGATGTAGCTAGAGTTCTGGTAATTTGACCATGGAGTATCTTGGTTGAAGCCATAAGAGTACGGGTCAGAACCTTCGCTCTATTTGGTCCGATTAAGGTCATCAGTTTGAATACTCTTTCAAAGGAGTCATCGGATATAGTGAGGACTCACGGATTCCCACTTGCGCAGCTCTGTTGCGTGAGGATCAGGATCAACGATGAGCAGTAGACGGCAGAAAAGGATAGGTGATGGATGAACGTACTGAGCGAGTTCGTGGACGAGTATTCAGGGTTCTGTCGGCGTCAATACAGTAAGAACCCGGTCTAATCACAACATAGAAATGGCACGTACATCGAAGTCCGAATAATTTGCCCCGCACCGCGCATTATAAGTCACCTGCCTTCCTGCCTCCTTCGCAGTGTTGAACCACGCAGGAGCTACAACGACGTCGTTGTCACAAACAGAACCGGTAACAACGTCAGAGTTACTGCTCCTGAATGGAATAACGCAGAGGACGCACCAATTTCCTGGAATATCGTCGGGCCACCAACATCGCACCATAGGATATCCGCATCATAATTATAGAACAACGCCTCCATTTGCGGCTTCATGATATCGACGAGGAAGTCGTCGACTTCGACGTAGCCAGTGTATAGTTCTAGTGGAGCGGACCAGTTGTATGCGTTGCTGTAGGGGCGGACACAGCCAAGAAGGAACAAAAACTTTAGGCGCCGGTGGGGAAGGAAAAGGGGGTGAAGAAGCGTACTGAGCGAGTCCACCGGCCCATCCTGTGCGCTGAAGGATGTCGTATCCAGGCTATACACCAAAAAGTCACCGTCTATCCTCAGACATGAAGGTCGCAGCAGGACGCATTAGCACTCACTGTCCCAGGAACAGTCGACCGTCGATGATACAAGTCATCTCCCGCATCCGCGTGTCCATACTTCGCGAACGACGGATTAAACCATTCTGGTAGGGAGAAGTAAAGCTGGGAAATGTTTGAAAACCAGATTTAGACCGGACGAATAGAGAGGAGAGCAGAGGCTGATGGTGGGCTTGTGACTGGTGGCAGGAAAACTGACCCCATTGTGTAGTTGAGGTTGGGTTTCTTTGGCTGCAGCGACGATCTCGGCCACGAGATCACGTCTGCGATATACCGTATGTCAGCGTTACTGATGTCATGGAAGGTAAAATAGATACTGACTGGGGGCCGTAGTTGAGTGAATTGCGATTTGACGAATTCCCGGTATCGAACAGCGCGAACCCATCGTGATGCTTCGTAGTCAAAACCTAGAGCATCATCACCAACGTCAGCACATGCATCAGGAAATTGACCCATCTTCGTTCTTGTCCCACATCTGAAAGTCCAAAACCCGACTCACATAATATTTCGCCCCGATATCCGCCACAAACTTCACAAACTCCTTCGCATCAAACGCGCTCGCCGTAAAATTCGGGAAGAAATCATCGTATAAGAAGTCCTCGCCATAGACTTCCTTATGGTGCGTCCACACCGCGGAGGATGAGTTAGCCGGGTTGTGTTGCCAGTACCAGTACCACTCGGCGTATTGCGTGCCGGAGACGGTCCACGATGGGACCGAGTATATACCTAATCACGTCGCCACAAGAAGTCGTGAGCAACGAAGAGGAAAAGGAATGGACAGAAAAAGCAGGAAATTTTACCCCAGTGGACGAAGAGGCCGAACTGGAAAGCAAGGCAGTCAGACGGAGCCGCTCATGTGGGATGTAGCAGGAACTGACCTTCGCTCCATCAAACCATTCCGGGCTCTCATGCGTCATCAAACTCTCGTCACCCTCCACATAATCCGGAATTCCTGCAGTAACGCTCCACTTTCCACCGACCTGCTTTCCATCCACAAGAACCACGACATCATCGACCAGAGTCCCGGCCGTGACATTATTTGTGTTCAACACCCCAACAATGACGCGGACTTGGTCGCCACCACGGAGACGCTGCACTGTTCCCGGTAGGACAGTCCGAATGGAGGACGAGGAGAGTGTGAAGGTTGTGGGTTTGGTGATCCAGGAAGATGGGTCGGCTGTGGATGGAGCGAAGTTGTTCAGGGTGATCTCCATGAGCTGGACCTGTGTCTCGTTGAGGGTGCGAAACCTGGCACTCGTTGTTAGTTCATAGTAAAAGGGATGGACGGACAATGAGAAATCTCACTTTGTAGTACTCCGGACGTTCTGGACGTTCAACACCGGTCCACATTCTGTGGTCGCATCTGTATCCACTGCGACGAGCGTCATGGAGAACATATGGATGCTGATGACCCCCGTTGTCTCGGACGAACCAGTCTCGCTGGAGGCAGAAAACCAAAAGTATCAACATCAGAAAGAGCCAAGAAAGCGGAACCAAGTCACGTCGAGACTTACTTCGCGAGTATAATGCTTGTAAGCGTCTTCGCATTGTCCAAATGATGTTGAAAGCTGAACATCCTCGTAGCATTATCTACACCGAATCCCAATACCCGTCAACAACGTCCTCACTCACCCCCTCAACGTAATCAGTCAGATAGCCGAAAACCCAAACTCACAATTCTTGTAAGTCGTCCCGTTACTCAATCCCTCATTCAAATACGGCGCACTAACGGGCCCATCTGACGGGTTCGCAAGCCACCACGGCGCCACCACGAACCCTAACGTTTCATTCGTCCCGTCCTCATAAATCGCATAGAACTGCCCATTGATGGTTGCACCCCCGTCCGTCGCGCCGAGCCAGTTGAAGGAGTGATATTTTCCTGGCGGGACGGGAATGGTCTGTGCTGAGCAGTTCACGTTGTCGAAGGTCGTTAGGTTCGGAGCGGTGAAGTCCGGGAGGGTATACTATTCCGAGAGTAGGAGTCAGTTCGAGGAACGAAGTTTTGATTTCTGCGAGAAGAGAGGAGGAAAAGGCCATACGTTTATGGACGCGTCGACGATGAAACCAGTTGGGAGATACTCAGCGGGATAAGAATCATTATGACCATCGAAACTAGCCATATAACCATCGAGTGCAGCAGCCTTGTTATTCAAATACGAGGAAAGATCAACCTGAACCTGACTAGCGGAGGCGTCCTCGAACGAAAGGAGCACATTCAAGACAGCGAGCGCAGACGCGTACGGAGCAAGAGAAGGCCGCATCGCGAACGTCGAGCAGATGATTCGAAGAAGCACTCAGCAAGATTCCAGCCCATCTCAACCATGGCATTTATATCTGTGAAGAAAGCGGGCTTTATATGTATGACGCGTGACGGCGCAGGAAGACCAAATGATAGGAAGAAGTCCTGAGCACGAGTTCGCGGCCCGTCGAGATAAGTGTAGAAATAATGACGGAGAGCGCCTTCCGCTGTTATTCCGCGGGCTTCTCAACTATGAAAATCCCCTGAAGACCCTGGAGAGCAAGGCGAACACAGCATAATCACTGTCCCCGAAGATTGATTATACGTAGTCGAGCATAGAGTCCAAGGTGAAGATATTGTTGAAACAGCAGTGTCAAGTGATGATGTAGAGGTCTCTGAGTCGCGAGTGACCGCCGCTTGCCGGCTGGAGATCAATCGAATATCACCGATCAACATAGCGAAACACTCGTTCTCGAGTGATGAAAATACGATATTAGACCAACGTCTGTTTCAACAACTACGATACCGACCAATGATCGGTGCCCGCCGGCCAAGGAACCCCCTGAAAGCGAATCGTATGCATGCGTCGTCAGAGATAGCATGTTGGCAACTGTAACAAATACAAAATTGCCAAGAAACTTTCCAAAGAGAATATCGTGAAGAAAGCAAAGACACAGGAGTGCTTCATCGGCGTTGCAGACAAAGGAGAAGACCGCAAACGGTGCCACCACGAGAGACTCAGAGTCAAAGGAACTCCGACGAACTCCGACTTACGCCACATCACAGTGCCACAAAGCAGCGCCATTACCGGCGATAGCTTTCCTCCGTATACGCCGAGATCGAAGACTTAGGTAGCGCGATGTGCTGAACCTCGAGGCACGCAGACCAGTCCTTTACACATACAAGGCCCCTCAACGCCAGTTCGATATGCTTGCCATACATCATGCATAGAAAAAGGAGACAGGTAAAGAAAACGGAGGACATGCAGCAGATTGTAGGAAAGTCATAGGGAGGCAGCGGCAAGGGGAGGGGTAGGCGGAGGCATGAGGGTAGATGAGCATCGACCGTACGTATGTGAGACCCGCGAAGTAAGAAAACCAGAAGATCCAAAAAGATTCATTTAAGCGGTCCTGTGAATCGGGAAACATATGTTAAGACCAGAGGTAGCGTGAAGAGATGGAGAAAGACGTACTTCTTGTGGGACGCCTTGATGGCAGCGACCTTCTCCTTTTTCTCGGCGATGCGCTTGGCGAGGAGCGCACTGCAAGCCTGTTAGCTGGAGAAGAAGGTTGTGAATGAATCGGACGTACTCGTATTCGGTCTTCTGGTCCCGCTGGTGTTCGATCCGGCGAACCTTGAGGGCACGGAGGTGACGGCGGCGCTGGAGACGGACGGGGGTGACGAGTCGCTGGATTTTGGGACTGAAGTGCATAGAATTCTCAGACGTGCACGTAACAGATGAGAAAGAGATACTCACGCCTTCATGTAGGGCTTCGCGTCCTCCTTCTTTGAGCTCTTGACCTCCCTCCTGACGACGTACTTCCTGACATCGTCCTCCTTGCTCAAGTTGAAGAACTTCCTGATCTTCGTCGCCCTCTTGGGACCCAACCTCTTGGGGAGGACGTTGTCGGTAAGACCAGGGATCTCCTGCTCACCCTGCTTGACGAGAACGAGGGAGAGAACGGCGATGTCGGAAGCCACGATACATCCACGGACTGACTTGCGGCGGCGCTCACCGTCCTTGCGTGCGCGGTAGCAAGAGTGACCGTCGGAAAGGAGGAGACGGACACGATAAGGGACGAGGACACCCTGCTTCATGGGGAAACCCTGCTTGTCGTTACCACCGGTGATGCGGAGGATGTAGCCGGCCCATTCGTCGCCTATCGAGTCGGCGGGAACTTCTTGAGAGATTTTATGATCAAAGAAGATACGACTGTGGCAGATGGTTAGTACGACAAAACTAAAGCCACGGGCGAGTAGGGTCTGGCATTGGCATCCGGCGCATCACCCATCCTATCCAGCAATGACGAACTCAATCCTTCTCTGTATCCACCTGACCCTTCCTTCATAACCCCAAACACACCCTTGCCAGACCCTCCTAAGTCAAAGAGAAGCACGCACTATCTCTTCTCATCGTCGACTTCGAGAGTCTTTTGCTGCCCCGTCGCGGGGTCTGCACAACACGATTCCGGTCAGCACAAGCCGTCCTACGTCTATTCCCATCGTCTAAGTCAGTACGCACTGGCGATGTTCAACTTCATACTACAAAATTCAGGAAAAAACAGTATAAGTCCCCCGTCACCAACGATATTGTCATAAAGCACGCACCTTGCGGAACGAAAGGAAAGGCGAAGTCACCGTCGTCGGCGTCGGCGTCGAGGGTACTTGCGATGAGATGTCTTGAGGCGCGTGCGAGGGCGGACAGCGGAGTCTGGCTCAATCGACGTCCCAATGCGGCACGCGGTGGCGCAGAATAAGGTTTGCCAACTGTACAGACACTTTCAGCCACACCTTCCCGATTAGGCTGTTCGTCACGCGTGACACTCACCCTGCAGCGAGAGCGTCACCCAAGGAGAAGAGACCGACAGACCGACGCGCTCAACGGCACCAAAACTCTCCACCCTCAAGACTCCCCACCAAATAATCGTGCGTACCGCTGCTCGTCGTCGGCGACGGTGACCAGGTGCTGACGGTTGATTTACAGAGCCATGGGTCGTATGCACGCTCCCGGAAAGGGCATTTGTGCGTTTGTCTTGACTTGGACTTGGACTTAGAAGCCTTGACGAACATATCTTACAGCGTCCTCCGCCCTCCCTTACCGCCGCACCCCCCCTTCCTGGCTCAAGACCACCCCTGATGATGTCGTCGACCACATCGCCAAGCTCGCCCGCAAGGGTCTTACCCCTTCGCAAATCGGTGTCACTCTCCGTGATTCGCACGGTATCCCCCAAGTGCGCTTCGTCACCGGTAACAAGATCCTCCGTATCTTGAAATCAAACGGTGCGTCTACTTCTCCAATTCACAACATCTCGGGTTCTGATGCATTTGGTTGGATTGGGGTACGATTGGTGTAATCTTCATCGGTATGTTTCTGTTGTCTTTCGTCTATAGGTCTCGCACCCTCCATCCCCGAGGACCTTTGGCACCTCGTCAAAAAGGCTGTCGCAGTCCGCAAGCACCTTGAGACCAACCGCAAGGACAAGGACTCGAAGTTCCGCCTCATTCTCATCGAGTCCCGTATCCACCGTCTCGCCCGGTACTACAAGACGAAGCAGCAGATCCCTCCTTCGTTCAAGTACGACTCTGCCACCGCCTCCACCCTCATCGCATAGACGCCTTCCTTCTTTTGCGCTTTGGGTTTTGTAGGATTCTGGGGGCTGAGGATAGTTGGCGTTGGGCTGTCAGGTGCGGGTGTGAGCTGGAAGAGGGGGAGAACTTATTTTTGACATGCTGCTCATGCCTTTTCTCGTCCGTGTATGCATATGCGTTTTTGGTCGTATTCCATGCCTCTCCATCACACACCTGGCAGGTTTTCGCATCCAATATCGCTCGTGACCAGCGTCTGCTCGCGACCAGCGTCTGCTCGCGACCAGCGTCTGCTCGCTATAACTCAAGATATCTTGTAAAGTGACAAAGAGGTCCTTATTCATCGGAAATATCTTGCTCGGCTTTTCGTTCTCAGACTCTAGGCAGATTCGGTGGCGTATCTGGATACGGACCACCTCTTCGTCTGCTCTAGCAAAGTATGTTCTTGTGCAGTTCTTGGCTGGGGTCTTTGGCTCTGGTATGAGTCGAGTTGGTCCTTCTGATCATCGCTACAGAAACTTATCAGATTCCTGGTCCCTTTAGGGGACAAGGTCTGTTAGCAGCTAATTTTCGTCAAACAGCCAGACATAGTTAGTCTCGTTCCGATCGGCACTTCCCATGCGCCCAGACCGCACTACTCGCGTGCTTGCCACACGTTGCAATTGGCCACACGGCCGGCCGGCCTTCCATCCTCCTCCACTCTCGTCGTCTCGAGCTCATAAATAAGGCCGATGTTCGTGCATTCCCAATACACCCCTACTTGAATAAATACTGCATCTGCATGACTCGATTGGAAAAGAGGCCAACATCTGTGGATCGCCCCGGCAAGGAGGGTGGGCAGGGCGGTCCACAGAGGTTGGCATCTTCGTTCCAGTTGTCAGTGTACTGGTATATTCCTGTTCCGTTAGGACAGGTC